GTTCTACAACCACAAAAAAATAAAAATAAAAATGTTGCAATAGAAACTAACATCTTATTGAAACAATTAAACATAAATGTTTAATTGTTTATTATATATTAATATACTAATAATATTTTGATGCTTCTGTGAAAAAAATATTGGACCGCTCTTTCTTTTATACATATGATTTTGAATTACACACACAAAAAAAAAACATTTAATTTCAATCTAATATATTTTAGTTTTCGATTTGGGTTTGGCAGTTGGCTAAAGAAGGTTGCTCACAGGAGGACCAAGGAAACAAGCCGTTGAAATTGGGATGGTCTTTCACTGATTAAGCTAATTCTACGTAGCCCGTTAGATGGGGGCCTTTGTTCCACTCAACCAGAAGATCTGGAAAAAGAAACAAATATAAAAAAATTTAATATCGTTCGTTTTAAATTATAATAAAATATTTAATATAATATTTAAATATAAAAAAATTTTAATTTGATATTCGCAATTATAGATTTATTAATTAATATAATATTTTAAAAATTATTCATCACATATTATTATTTAAAATTACTCACATTAAAATAAATATTATATTAATTAATAAATTTATATTTTAAATTTATATATTATATTAAATATTTTACAATAATTTAAAAATTATTTATATCGTTAACTTTAAAAAAGTATACTAAAAAATGGAAAAGTGAACTTAGGGATAGGGAGACCGTATAGTCGATAATGATAGTGGTTTTGGCGATGCCACGGGGGCCGTCGAGAATGAGTGGTTGAGGGACATGGTGGTGTTGAGCGTGGCTGTCGAGGGATTGCTTCTAGTCTAGGTCTTGCAACGAGCTTCCATGCTTTTGTTCACCATTGGCTTTTTCCCATTTTAATAATTTTGTCCTAAAAATACTGTCTACTTTGAAGTTTGAACGCATTTTTCATTTTCTTACTTTCGAGAATAAAGAACGAACATAGAAACAATTACCAAACGCAACTAATCAAAGAATTTGTAGGCAAAGCCCAATTTTTTTCCTTCGAACCTGAGCCCACGAATTTCTATCCAATCTTCACTACCACTGACTGCACGGATTAATCAACCCTGAGGAATGCGGCCCGTTTAACATTCAACCAATCTGTAATTCTCTAATGCTATCCTCATGACTCAAAAATTACCACTTTATGATTTGTTTTTTTAACATCTAAAAATTCATTAAATTTGGATTACGTAATAAAAATTAGTAATTTCTGATCAAATAAATCTCAATCTTCTATGTGTAAGATTCAAATTGAAAATTCATCTGATAAATAGTTGAGATGTTCTTTTCAAGATTTTGTAAAGCAAATTTTATAACATTATATGCTATTTCTTTCAAAAAAAATAATTTCATTTTGGATTGGGGCTGGCTTGTGACCGGGACTTTGAGGAACTGATAGTGTGGAGAGTGACTCGGAATTGGCGATAGAAGAGGAGAGTTTAAATTATGGGAGGCTGGTGCCATAATTTTTTACGTGATTTACATCTTGTTTAGGTCCAAAGGGAAAGTAACAAATTTTGCATTTTCTTAGGATTCTTATGTGTTAGACAAAAACTTACAAGGCTATAAGAAAAAAACAACTTGTGGATATTTGAATATCTTGATAACTTGTGAATTTTTTGCAGTTTTTTTTTTTTAATTTTTACATATATCTTGAGAAAGGTGGAACATTTATCTCTAATGATTTTTTCTTATAAATTTTATCTGATAAAAAATTAAATAAAAATAACCAAACAAAATAATCAAAAAATAAAAAAATAAAAATAAAAATAAAAATATCTATATTTTTGAGAAAATGATTTTTTTTATATTTCTAAATAAAAATTTTAGCAAAAATATATTTTTTAAATGAATGGAATTAATATTAAATTTTAAGCCAAAACTATTTTATCTAACACTGAAAATAGTGCATGATTAAATAATACCAATTTATGGACGTTGTGGATGTGCTAATCATTCTCCACACGTAATCGACTCTCGAATCTAACTTGATTTTCGTAGATCGAAATTTATCTTTTTGATAAATTTTAAATTTGCTTTTACAATTTTATTAAAAAGATAATTTTTTTAGTGATCAAGCACACCCTAACAATGATTGGTGGTGACTCCCTTATTTATTTCGATTTTAAAATTTATTTATGTTTGACGATCCCAAAACTGTTACGACAATAATCATTTTTATCTTCTTTTAATCTCTACAAAATTAATACTGTAGATTATCTTTTCAACTTTATCTTCTATCATTCCTTAGATCTTTTCTCTTATATTTGATATATAAAAAATCAATAGGAATATAATGATTGTTCAAGGAAGAGGTGCTAAAGTTTGTTTACAAATTACAATAATTATATTAAAAAAAATTATCTTATACATAGACTTAATATTAAGTTTTAAAAGTAAAAGCTTATTTACAACTTAAAAGTAAAATTTTCCGTATCCATTTTTATTTGGATCTAAATAAAAAAAAATTATAAAAGAAATTGTGATTTGAAATAAAAAAATATAAATATTAAAATTTAAAATTATTAAATTTCATTTTTTAAAAAAAATAATTACATAAAATGAGTTAAGTTTCAAGTTGATCTAAATAAGGAATTTAGTATTGAATCTAAAACAAACAAAAATCAAATGAAATTTGATTTTCGAGTTGATTGTACATATTTAACAGCTGTACTAAATGATTTCGTCTTATTGAGAAGGGTGAGTGGGAGTAACTTCCAACAAATGGACCTCGTTAACTTGTATGTACTCCTTTGAGCCCACACATGTTGGATTTTGGCCCTCTTCAATTGAACAGTACCAGTTCGACTCTTCATTCCTATTTCGTTCCTTTATTATTATTTTTTTAAATTTAATCTATATTTGACCAATCCTTTTTAATTAATTAGATTAAAAATAGTTAAAAATTTCTTAAATTATTTTTTTAAAATAAATTTTTATATTTTTATTGTACCAAAATAAGTTCTCATATTTTGATTTATATCTAAATAAAATTTTTTTAAATAAAAAATAATTTATGTTAAATTTTTATTTAGACATAAATTAAATATTAAAAGTTTATTTGAGTGCAAATTAAAATTTAAAAAATTATTTAAATATAATACAAATATAAAAATTTATTTAAACAAAAATTTAAATTTTAAAAATATTTTTATTATATCAAACTATGCAATTAGTTTCTATACTTGTCTGAAATTTGAACTTTAGTTTCTATATAATAATTTACAGAAATTAGATCCTCATAATAGTTTGTTTTAACAATATTGGTTCGATTTATAATAGCATTACTTGATATTCATTAAATTATTTTATGTGATCGTTCAAAATGTTGATGTGGTGTTTATTTTAATAACGTGACATTGATTTATTGACTTAACAGTTGAAATTAATGAAATTAATTATCAAATTATGTAAATAATTTTTATATTTATACAAAATTTGAAATTTAAACCCTATACTCATATGAAATTTGAAAATGTGATTTTTGTACTTGCACATAAAATTTGAAATTAAGTCTTTATATTCACATAAAAAATTACTATTTAATCTCTTTACTATAAGAAATATTTTGAAAATTTTTTAGTTTTTAAAAATATTAAAATTTAAAAATATTTAATTCCTTTAATATATTAGTTTTTATTATATATAATTAATTATTAATAATATCATTGTTATCATTTACAATAATCAATTATAATATTACTAATTGAAATTAATATATCAAAATTAATTTTTTTAAATTAATATAAATATTTTATATAACAAAATTTATAATGAATTAAACTATTGAATAAAGTTGCATTGTTAATCCAATATAAATCATGAATGAAATAATCATTATATTCAATCAAACAAAATAAAAAATTCAAACCTATATTCTTACAAAGGATGATCTTCTATCTAGTTGAAGGACGAATTTTGAATCATAACAAAATGAAAGGAAAAAATATTTATTTGATAAGTTGAAACATTAATATTATGTATCATAATAAAAACTTTTAATTTTTTAAGTATTCATAAAAAAATTATTTAAATAATTATATTAAATTAAATAATATGATTAATTTTAAAATTAATACATATTAAATTTAATAAATTACTTTAAGTAAGTTAATTATCATATTAATAAGTTGATGTCACATTATTAAAATTAATTAATGCCACATTAATAACAATCACGTTAGCCAATTTAACGTTATCTAATGGTCAACGGCCACATTAGTCAATTAAGTAATAATGTTATTAATTAGATTAATATTATTAAATTAAATTAGTATAAATTTTAATTTTTTTAATTATTATTAAATATAACGATTAATTGCAGAATTTTACTTTTTTTATTATTTAACCAACCAAAACGAAGATTTTCCTGTCTCGAAACCGAACAATAATCCGTGGCAACCCCTTAAGTCACCTTCTCATGCCTTCCAAACGTGAAACATTTTAAATCTGCAAATAAATCTACTGTAATAAACAAGGAGTTATTTGAATTTGATTTTATTTCAAAAAAAAAAAAAAGGAAGAAGTAAGATATACTATTAATTGTATATTTGTATTTAGTCCCAAATCAATTATTTTCTTGAATAATGAAATGAAGCATAGATTTTTTTTTTCTTCTTCGTAGAGCAATTAAAATTTCAAACTTCTCATTTCTTCCTATTAAGAAAAAGGAAATTCTTAATTATTTGGATTAAAAAAAGAAAGAAAATCCTCAATGCTTATGTTATGCGCTTTCCACGTGCCAAATTTGAGGCCCACGGTATTCATTCTAAATTTCCCATCACCTCTGAATAATAATAATAATAATGTTAAATTAAATTTTATTTTAATTAAAAAGTCAACCTCTCATTTTTTTTAAATAAAGTTCATATTTCTATAAAAAAAATAAGAAATAGATCCTTTTTAAATGGTATTCTAATATGACGTGGTGGAAAGTTTTTTTTTTTAAAAAGATTTTGTCAACGTGCCGTAGCTAAGTCTTTAGCTCAAGCCAGGAACCAACCAGCCAGCTCCAGCTCCTCATTCCCTCAATACACGGTTACCCTCGCCTCCAACGCTTCTCTCACACTGAGAAACCCTTTTCTTTCCATCTCTCTCTCTTTCTCTCTATTTCCTTCTCTTTCCTTTCCCTCCAAGCAAACGCTTTCGCCTTTCATGTTTTTTCCTCTTCACCTTAATCCCAACACTTCTAGCTCCGGTTCCTGATCTGGGCTTCAACCGCAAATGCATCCATTCGAACAACTGCAACCGCCACCTCCTCCGCTGCCGTCAGAACAATTAGAACCTCAAGCACTGCAAACGCTTCTCGACTTAATCACCGGCGTCCTCTCTCTCCTCCTCCTCTCTTCCCTCACCGTTCGATCCTTCGTAGGACGGTGGCAAGTCGTTCAATCAAAGCTCTGTTCTCTCCAATGCTCTCTCTCCTCAATCTCTGAATCTCCTCACTGGAACGAGAACTCTTTGCTTCACACTCTTTTCCCTTCTCTTCTCTCTACTCTCCAACGTTTAAAAGCTCTCTCCGATCAATGTACTCTCTCTTCCTTCACCGGAGGGAAACTCCTCATGCAAAGCGACCTCGACATGGCTTCGTCTTCTCTCTCCAACCATCTCCATGACCTCGATTTGCTTCTCAGATCTGGCGTTCTTCACCAATCCAACGCCATCGTTTTGTCTCACCCGGGACCTGACTCTGATAAAGATGATTTAGGATTTTTCATCAGGGATCTCTTTACGCGACTTCAGATTGGAGGCATTGAGTTCAAAAAGAAAGCTTTAGAATCACTTCTCCAGCTTCTAACCGACGACGAGAAATCTACTGTTGTGGTTGCTAAAGAAGGAAATGTTGGCTATTTGATTACTCTTCTCGATGTTAGCAACCAACCTTTAATTCGAGAAAAAGCCGTTTTAGCAGTGTCGCTGTTGGCTTCTTCAAGCGAAGATTCGAGAAGGATCGTCTTCGAGGAAGGAGGATTAGGGCCTTTGTTAAGAATCCTCGAAACAGGTTCCGTTCCTTTAAAGGAAAAGGCCGCGATTGCTGTTGAAGCAATCACCGCCGATCCCGAAAACTCGTGGGCAATTTCAGCATACGGCGGAGTCTGGGTCTTAATAGAAGCCAGCCGATCTGGTTCCCAACAAACACAAACCCACGCGGTTGGCGCTCTTCGAAACGTGGCTTCCGTGGAAGATATTAGAATGGCTTTGAGTGAAGAAGGTGTGATACCCGTTTTACTCCAGTTGTTAGTCTCAGGTACCACCGCTGCACAAGAAAAAGCAGCCAATTGCCTTTCAATACTCGCTTCTTCGGGTGAATATTTTCACGCTTTGATTATACAAGAAAAAGGATTGCCAAGATTAATGCATTTGATTCAAGATTTATCAAGTTCAGATACAATCGAGCATGTTCTTCGTACAATCAGTTCACTTTCTGTCGCAGATTCCGTTTCACGGGTTTTGTCATCTTCAACGGCCTTCATTATCCAATTGAGTGAATTTATTAAGCACGGGAACATGATTTTACAACAGATTTCAGCTTCTTTGTTATCAAAGTTGTCAGTCAGTGATGGAAACAAGCGAGCAATTTCTAGCTGTATGGGTTCTTTGGTAAAATTAATGGAATCACCGAAGCCAGTTGGGTTACAGGAAGCGGCGGCGCAAGCGATTGTTTCGCTGTTGACTGTCCGATCAAATAGGAAGGAGTTGGTTAGAGATGAGAAGAGTGTGATGAGATTGGTGCAGATGTTGGATCCGAAGAATGCGGCTGTTTCTAAGAAGCTTCCATTGATGGTGGTGACGACGGTGTTAGGCGGAGGAAGCGATGGTTGTAGGAAGAGACTGGCGGCTGCGGGAGCCAACAAGCATCTGCAGAGTCTGGCGGAAATGGAAGTCGCCGGAGCTAAGAAGGCGCTTCAGAGACTCGCTGGGAATAGACTGAAGAGCATTTTCAGCAGGACTTGGAGGGAATAACAAGAAAAGATACTAACCCCCGCCAACTAAGGTACGTTCTTTTTCACGAGGATATAATTGGAAAAATGGGATTTTGTTTGGGTTTCGTTTCGATCTAAACTTCTTGGTGACGCGTGGAGTAACTGTCCTCTATTTTATCGCCATTAATTAGGGTTAAAAGTACGATGTTGCCCCTTCTTATTTTCCATAAGATTTTAGTTACTTGTACTAGTTTGCCACGTCAGCACTAAAACAGGGAGGGTTTTCGATTATCCGAGTGATAATATCTTTAATCCTGAAAAAGAATGATGGCTAAAACATCGAAGCCATAGATGTTTCTGGTCCATCGTGAAAATCATCGATTCGATGGACCCAATTGTTTTGGTGAGCTTACTATTTGTAATAATGCTGACGTGGTATCTGTAAACATGCCCGTGTCCTGTAAGGGTGTAATGGAGCCAATTAGATACCTGCCAGATTCGAAGTTATTAGTATTTAGTACAACTTCAAAACTCAAACGCGCGAAACTCGAAAATTTGAGTCTAGTTCAATAAAATTATTTTTTATGCTTGAGCTGATTTTGTAATTTTATTGGATCGGTTGAGTTTGATTCGTTAAATTTGATTAGATTTAATAAGATTATAAATATTAGTATTAAATATTATATTTTTTATTATATTTAAAAAATAAAATATTCAATCAAATTCGATATAAATTTTACGAGTAAGATATTAGATTATTTGAATTAATTTGATTTGTTATTCAAAAAAACTTCAATTCCACTGAAAAACGAAAGCGTGAAATTCCATTTTTGTATATTAAATTTTATCAGGCCGTTAGCAGTATGATTAGATTAGTTAGTTACTCCTCTAGAATATCCTGTACATGATACGGCCTCGTTTTCCAAGACTAAATTAACGGATCAGATTTTGTAGATACGTTTCTACTTTCTAGCACGTGAAATTTTAGTGAATAATATTTATAATTATTTTATTTTTCATATTATTGACAAATTTTTTGGGCTTAATTTATATTGCAGGAGTTCGTTTGGAATTTTCTAACTGTCAGAAGAATGAGAAACTGCTTTGGTGGAAAAGCGACAAAGACGCTTCGTATACTCCAGACTTTTTCCCCTCATATCATTAAAAAAAAAAAAAGTTTTAATATACCATTTAAAATATCAATTAGCATTTAATATTTTATATCTGATGACAAAAGGAATGGATGCGGTTTTTAGGGAGTATCCTCATTTTGCTCGTTTTTGTTTTTAATTTTTTTTAATTAATATTAGATTAACTTATGAAGGTGAGTTGTAAGGGAAGGATACGAGCATACGACGATTGTTATGTTTCCTTCCTTTTTTTTTTTCTTTTCTTTTCTTTTCTTATGGACGTTGTTTTATAATGTAAATTCCTGAAATCTTTGTTTTATGAAATGAAATGATTTGGCTTTTTGGGGTTTTCCGTTTTCCCTACCAGTAGATAATGGGAGGAAATCAACGGTAAAGATTATGGTCTTGGTATTGAACTCTTTCATCAGATTTGTGAATGTGGGTGGTGGGCCTCTATTTTTCACATTTTGTTTGAAATCCTGAATGTTTAGCTTGGCAAAGAAGACATGTTGATGATCAACGGACCCGAAAATTTAGAAGTAAAATAAATAGGATTGATGGAGCAGTGAGACTCGACTGATATTGAGAATCTGAAAAGGAGAAAGAACAGAAAAATTGGGAAGAGGGGGAGGCGGCATGCAGGAAACAGGCAGCAGCAGTCAGGAAAAGAAAAATAGGGAAGGAGGGCGCAGTTGTAGGGAAGAAGGGGAGCTATAAAGGTCGATGAAAGGCTAAAAGTGCGGGTCCCAAGCAGAAGAGTACAGCGACATCACATGGGTAAAGAAAAGATAAAAATATATAAGTAGTATTGTACTAGACCAGGATATTATCGAAAGATAATATTGAGCAGTCCTTTTCTTTGTTCACAACGTAACATGCTATGGCTTGCTTGGTTGCTTGCTTCGTTCTCGAGGCTCGAGTCATCACCCTTGTTTCGGTTGTTTTTATTTGTCATTGGTACCGAAATACTCTACCTCACTCCAGCAGATGGTGCTAAAGAAAAGGTTTATCTTTTTTTTTGTGGGGGGCAATGTTGGTTAAGGTCATATTTCCCCAGAGACCCCTTTAAAGCCACTGCGTCAACAAGCTGTAAAGCTTCATGCTTCCTTCTCTCTTAGCTTCTATCATTACCTTCACACATCACAATTCTGTCTAAACTTTTCTTTTACTCTGTCGCGCCAAAAATATATTATTCTCTCTCTCTCTCTCTCTCTCTCTCAAATTATTTGGGTATTTTTTATTTTTATTGAATTTATGAAAAATATTTTAATTTTAATATATTTAATATTAAAATTTATTTTTTATAAAATTAAAGGTTAATATTTTTAACATAAAAAATAAATAAAATCATAAAAAATTTGAAATATAAAAATATAAGAATTTTAGATATAAAAAACATATAATTTTGAGATATCTTAAAAAGTATATATATAAAAAAAAGAGACAAAAAGATTACTATTTGTAGGTTTTTTTTAATAAAAAAGGTTATGGTATAAATATTAAAATTTAAATGAATTGAATATTATTCTTTTAAAAATATTAGATAAATCAATTAAAATGCGTTTCAGATTTATTATAAATAGTAGTTTATTATGACAAAAAATATTTTTAAATTATAATAAAATATTTAATATAATATTTAAATTTAAAAAATTTTTAATGCATTATTTAAATTATAAATTTATTAACTAATATATTATTTAAAAATTATTTATATATTATATATTATTATTAAAATTAATCACATTAAAAATAAATATAATTTTAATTGACAGATTAATAATTTAATTAATATATTAAAAATTCTTGAAGTTAAAATATCATGTTAAATATTATACTATAATTTAAAAATCATGACATAAACCCTAAGAATATCATACTTGAGCCTTATCCCGTCGTTTGATATACGTTTGACAAATTCCACGAGTAGACATAATACTTGGTTGCTAATGCTATCCGTTCGTTTAGACGACAGTTTGAGTCTTTTAAAGTTCAATAACTCACCGTCCTTTTTAGGACAAAATCTAGACCTTGGGGGATGGCTAGAGGCAGTGCTTGATGGCTGATGCCTGGATAAAAAAAAAAAGAAGGATTCTACCTAAGACTGTACTAGCTTAGACGGCCAAGGAAATGGATCTGTGGACGCTGAAATGCTGCTGGTAGTTGAAGTTGAAGGTTAGGTGTTGGTCTAAAACTATTACTACATAAAGTGTGAAAGCGATCAATATAAAAAAAAAAAAAAATATAAGCTTTTCTCTCGAAAACAAAGAAAGTGTTTTCTCTTTAGAAATACAAAAATATGGACAATGATTATGCAGTGCAACACCAAATTCATATTTGCAAATTGACAAATACTATAATAATTTACATTCCATTGCATTTGAGGTTAAAAGAAATGACTCCAAGTTTAAGTATTGTAAACATTTATTTAATCTTATGTTTTTGATCTTATTGAAGCTCAATGTCTAATTTTTTATATCTTGTTTATTTTATTTATTTATAATTTAGTTTTTATTTATCTGATTTTAAATTTTTATAATAAATTATAAATCATGTGGAGTAATTTAATTATTAATCAAAGATGATCTTAGTAATTAAAACTTAAACATGATATCTTTATCTATTAAAAGAAGATTAGAAAGAAACAAAATTAAGGAATCAAAGTCATATATAATTTAAAAAAATTTTGAGAGATTCTAAAAATCAAGAAAAATAGAGATAATTTCAGAAATTAATTAAATCCGTTCTAAAGAGAATTAAGAAAAAAATCAATTCAGAGCATAATCAGATCTGCAATCTTTGTCATTAAATGCAAATTAATAAAATTTATAGCAAAAGTCATATATAAACACCAATCAATCATACACAAAAGAGGAGGGGAAAAAAAGAAATAGAGATCTTAGTTTTTATTTTTGGGAGGAATCATTCAAGTAAATTTTTAGATTTTTTTCTTTGAGTTCTATGATTTTATTTCATTTTGAATTTGATTTGATTTTTGAGTTTCCTGAATTTATGTTTTAATTTTTGAGTTTGATTCCTATTTTATTGAGTTTATGATATATTTGTTTTTTTGTTGACTTTTGATTATGAGATTTCTATTGGGTTTTCACAAATTTAAAATTCTTTTTAAGTTTAGGATGAATTTTTTTGTTGAAGTTTGAAGTTTTTGCTTGAATCCAGCGATTTGCATAAGAATTCATGCTTTAAATCTAACCCAATTGTAGTTTTTTTCTTCTTTCATCCTATTCTTTGTTTGATTTGATTTGATTTGATTTTTCTATTTTATTTTCATTTTATTTTTAGATTTTTTATTTTTACTTATTATTATTTTACCTATTACTTTAAATTAAAAAATTTATTATTTATTTTTTAAAATACCTTTATGAATTTTTTATTTATTTATTTAAAAATAATAACCAAAAAATATTTCTAAAGTGTAATGTATTAAAAAATTTTAAAGTTTAAATATCATGTTAGTTATTATACTATAATTTAAAAATCATACATGGCATAAACCCTAAAAAATATCATAGTTGGGCCTTGCCCCGTCGTTTGATATACGTTTGACAAATTCCACGAGTAGACATAATACTTGGTTGCTAATGCTATCCGTTCGTTTAGACGACAGTTTGAGTCTTTTAAAGTTCAATAACTCACCGTCCTTTTTAGGACAAAATCTAGACCTTGGGGGATGGCTAGAGGCAGTGCTTGATGGCTGATGCCTGGATAAAAAAAAAAAGAAGGATTCTACCTAAGACTGTACTAGCTTAGACGGCCAAGGAAATGGATGTGTGGACGCTGAAATGCTGCTGGTAGTTGAAGTTGAAGGTTAGGTGTTGGTCTAAAACTATTACTACATAAAGTGTGAAAGTGATCAAAAAAAAAAAAAAAAGATAAGCTTTTCTCTCGAAAACAAAGAAAGTGATTTTCATTAACATGTCTTTACAAATACAAAAATATGGACAATGATTATGCAGTGCAACACCAAATTCATGTTTGCAAATTACTATAATAATTTACATTCCATTGCATTTGAGGTTAAAAGAAATGACTCCAAGTTTAACTACTTGTTACTTCCTGGAATACGGCAGACAATATTTATAATACTAGTATATGATCACCTTGCGTGTACGTTATTAATATATTTTCATATCAATATATGAAAAATTTTATTAGTTGATATTAATTTAGGAAAATCTTTTGCAGAGCCTTTAGATTTGTTAGTTACAGCTTATATATGGCCGCCAAGGGTAAAAAAAAAAAAAAAATGGAATCCACATAAGGGGACCAACCATGCCATAACTCCTAGTATGAGGTGTGAAGTGTGAACCATAATTCAACTTAATAATTGGACTTTTCTGTTGTTTTGTTCAAAATTTCGAATGAATATGACACAAAGCAATCCTTTTGGCTTAATAATTCTATGATACCTTTCAAAGCAGGTGCAATTTGAAACGGACACTTTGTTTTTACTCCTTTTTACTTCCAAAATAGACAGTTTAAAATTTTGGAACCCAGTTCCAGAGGTATGTATGTTTTGCTTCAGTTCAGGGTCAGATTTAGGTAGTTTATTCATTGGAGCCCAATTAATTACCTCATTGCATATGTATTGCACAATATAACTAACCTGTTAGAATTAATTAAAAAAGTCATGCCAGCAGTGAAAAAACTGTTTTACTTCCGAATAAGGGACACTGCCTCACATGAGGAGATAAAAAAAACGTTTCTCTGAGTACTTTGTATGTTGGATTATCCTGGCAAACTACCAAAAAAGAGGTTGATTGAAAAAATTGTAAACTAGTAAATTTGTTTTACGAAGTTATTTACAAAATGAATATACATTTTTATTCAAGAATAGATCAAACTATGTGCCTTGCCATAATCTTGTCTTGGTTCTGCAACCACAACTCTTGTTGAAGCAACACATTTTGTTGATCTACTGATCCATCAGGAGAAACATTGTTTTTAGCTTTCATAGTAGGCCATTGACCGAAAGGGTCATAGTCGTCATCCTTAAACGCTGCTGTTGTCCCTTTAGGATCCTGGGAAATAGATGTTGGTATCGCATGAAATGTTGGTGTGGCCATTTCATTAGGACTCTGAGCGAAGAAAGCTGGTGTTGCCTGAAATGTTGGTGCCATCGAGAAATTATCAGGAAAAGCTGCATTGTCATTGGTAGTGGTGGCAATGGATGCTGATGTATCTGTTTCATCAAGACTCTGAGCGAAGAAAGTTGGTGCTGCCTGAAATGTTGGTGCCATTGAGAACTTATCACGAAAGGCTGCATTGTCATTGGTAGTGGTGGCAATAGATGCTGATATATCTGTTTCATCTTCAAGAAATGGATTGTATTGGCGTGGAGGTAATATTGGCCTTTGATCAAATAAATAATTTGCCATTGAGGGCTCAATTCCATAGGCTAAATGTTGAGAAGCTTGTGCAGGTTGTGTTGCGGCTTCTACTGACACAATCTCCCAACCTTCCTTACTACCATTGCTCCAATTCGATGCTGAATGTTGTTCTTCTTCTGGTTCTTTTTTATCTTCCTGAAGCCAGTCATCAAAATAGGAGTGGCCATTATTAGCTACAATTTGAGAAGCTGGTTCTAGTTTTTTATCTTCCTGTAACCAACCATCAAAAAACAAATGGCCCTTGGCTACGTTGTGAGCAGCTTGCTCATGCTGTTGATTTTCTTGTAGCCAGTCATTGATATATGAATGACCATTGCCTTCAATTTGAGAAGCTTGTTCTTTTCTATGATCTTCTTGCAGCCAGCTGTTGCAAAGAGAGAGATCATTGGCTCCATTTTGAGAAGCTTGTACTTGCTTATGATCTTGTTGTAACCAGTTGTCAAAGAAAGAGTGATCGTTTGCTAAGTTTTGAGAAACCTCTACAGGTTGTGCTGTCGCCTCTAGTAAATCAAGCTCCCAACAACCCTTTTCACCCTTAGTTGAATTCGAAATTGCTGAATTTTGTTGCCTTTGGGTTTTATCAACCGTTGGCCAGTCATCAAAGGATACAAAATCTATAGTCACATTTGTCCCTTGATCAATGGGCAAGGAATGATTTGAACCAGTTTCAGTGACATTATACATATCTTCTTGTTCGTGACACCTTTTTTCAGACAGCTCCGAAAAATGTCCGACTAAGAAAGATGGGCTTAGAGTTTCAGCAGGTTCTGTCTGACTCATCAAATCTTCCAAGGATGTGCATCTTGAACCAGCTTGAGATTCTCTCTCTGTAGTTTCTGAAGGATCCTTGGCTGATGGTGCCGGTAGAAGAAGCAAATGAGCCGAATTAGAAGATGGGGATTTCCCAGGAGATGGGAACGAAGCTTGGTCTTTCAAGAATTCTTGTAAAGTTTCCATAAGCTCTTCTGATATCTTCTGCACACTTGGATATTCTGAGGTTCTCCCAACTCCAAGGCTCTTACAAAAATCATAAAACGAAGAAAGCTCTTCGAATTGTTTTGTGGCTTTCACACAATATTGAAAGGCATTGACGCAGGATTGATATTGCAAATGAAAGAAACCATCTAAAAGAAGACCGAGTCCATCAGATATGTCCCTGTAAAGATCAAAGCTTTCTTGGACGACATCATAAAGAGAAATCAGAACCAGACGGTTTGTCTTGGCTGCGCCTGTTGGCTTTGTGGCAATGGCTCTATCAAGCAATCGTTGCCAATAAGAAATCCTGTCAAGCAACATTGGCGGTTTCAAATCTCGAACAGGCTGTTGCTTAACTCGATGGCTTCTTGGATAGCTACTTTGCCTCTCTTTGTTCGTAAATCTTCTTTGAAGCTTCCCTGTGACAAAGCAATCTAAACGCTCATCAAGATAAAAGCTAAACGACCTTACAAAGGCCGTGTAATCATAAGGGCTTGAATTGGAGTAATCCCTGAAATTGGAAAGGTTTAGAATCTTGGCTCCACGATTCCTTGCATGAAGGACTTCTATAGGGAAAAAGGGGTCGCCATCTTGAAAAATTCGAAGAACAAGCATCAAAGATTTGAGGGCAACAACCCAGTTCTTTGTTTTGCCAATTCTTTTAGCAATGGCATGGGCACAAATTGCAGCATGGAGCTTGTTGGATGAGATTGTCTGAAGGATTTCACTGACGTAACGCTCGTCAATGGGCACTTGGTCACGGGTTGTGGCCTTGAGAACAGCCACATCAAGATTTGAGGAATTAGTGTTAACAACCTTGGCAAGGCTGATGCTTGTTTGGTCCTTCACTGCCTCAATTGCCTTCTTTAACTTGCTTGGCATCTTTCTTCTCTGAGCTTTCTCGTTTTCTTTTTCTTTTGGGACTTGTTCTCTTGGAAAATTATGATCCTAAGAAAAGCATTGGATGGAAATGTGTCATTTATTTTGGGTGATGGACTATAACCAAAACCCTTGAGACTCTCCCTGCCTCGTAAACATGACGAAGACTCGTAAATTTCGTTGACCCATTCCTTTGAACATTGGAATTTCCTATTCCTAGTGCGAAGTGGATAGCCATTCGCCAAACAGAGGGTTTATGCATATATATATATGAACCTACATCCGTTACTGAAGTGTATCATATAGTATATATGAAGACACATATGAGAAATGTTAGGCAGACCAAGATTTAATACATATTTAGAAGGAATATTAAGAATTGGAAAGAATGATCTGTATTTGAGCTGTAAAAATCTCCTACCGCATAAATCCATCTCATATGCGGTGTCTTATTATGGTGTAATGATGGTGGTTTTGGACTTATAAAATAAGGTTATATCCTCTATTTATTAGGCATGTTTTTTGAGTTAGACCCGTGAAACATGGAAAAAAGCAGTGAAAAAAATTGAAAGTAGGAATTGCAATAATAGAGCATGTGAGTCGACAGTAAGAAGAGCCAAGTTCTAAATGGGAGGCAGGCAAGGGAATCCGGATCTCTGCTCCAACTGAGCTTTCATGTTTCTGGAGAGATAGATCCCTTCACCCTTCACTTGTTTAACCTTTCATAATGCCCCCCACCCAACCATTTTGGGTGGTTCACCACTACCGCTGTATATTATTGCCAATAATAATTTTCCTTTATAAGTAATTACTGTCACCAATAATCAACACCATAATTACTCTCATCCCTCGATATCCTCACCTCCCATCTTTAGTCACTGCAAAGTCAATTCTCCGATGTCTCTTTTTTTTTTTTAATTTTTTGAGTTAATTATTTTTTTAATTGAAATTTTAGAAAATATATAAATTGATGCCTAAAAAATAAAATATATAATTTGCATATTAAAATTTCAAATTATGTATGATGTTAATTCAAAATTTAATTTTTTTAATTATATCAATTTATATATATGACGTTTAACAAATATTATCAAATATAAATAATAAAAATATATTTTAATAAGTTACTGCAAAGTCAATTATCCAATGTCTCTTTTTTTTTAATTTTTTGATTTAATTATTTTTTAATTGAATTTTGAGAAAACATATAAATTGATGCCTAAAAAATAAAATATATAATTTTCATATTAAAATTTCAAATTATGTATGATGTTAATTTAAAATTTAATTTTTTTAATTATATCAATTTATATATATGACATTTAACAAATATGATCAAATATAAATAATAAAAATATATTTTAATAAGTTATTTTTTATCATGTGACATTCACATAAAATGTTTACGAAATATTTACCATATTTATTTAATAAATAATAGTTATATAATAAAATTATATTAATTAAATAATATATAAATGAGTTATATTGATATTATTATAATTTGGATAAAATAACACATTATTTAAAAATTTATAATATAAATTATATATTTTATTTTTTTGGATGTCAATTTTTTCATTTTACTAAAATTTAAGTACAAAAAAATATTATTGACTCTTTATTTTTCTCGAAATGGATTGGGGAGGTGGGAGAGGAGCTGATCTGCCGGTCTGCATACAACTGATCAAAGACTTAAAACAGCCTACGGTTGGAAATATTGCTGGTTCGTAAATAAGATACTAGTCGAGTTGCTTGACATTAGCTCCAAAAATATATGAGCTTAACTCTTCACTGTCATACCGAGCTAGAATTTGGGTCACTTGAGCATGGTAGTTGGTTAAAATTTTTTTTTTTTTTATAAAAAAAATTTGAATTTAAATTTTATTGATAATTATTTATTGAGATCATATCGAATGTATAATTTATAATTATTTGTTTTAAGTTATTCAGTACGATATATCTTATCTTAATTTGGGAGATTGAATAATTTATTTACTTTTAATTTTTTTTATAAAAAAAATTAACTAAATTTAAATATTTTAATATTTGTATAGAGTAATTTGCATATTTATTTTATTTTTTGTTTTTAATTATATGTATTTTTAGTTTGTGATTTTATGAATTTTATCCAAAAAAATTTATTTAAATATTGGTTTTTTTTTTTCTTAAAAATGATATCGCTCCTTTTCAATTAAATGGCAAGCCGTAGACCATGCTCCTACACTCCTCCAAGTTGACAAAATTACCTGATTTCTTCTTCTCAATAGCAACAACAGTACATTTCAATATTAGATACTAGACCAGTAGACCCTTGGTGCGATTGAGTAGATGGGACCTCAAGCACATGGGATCAACCTCTCTCATTTTCAGGGCTTAAAAAATGTGTACTTTTTCTTTTCCCTCAAAAGAACATTGTCGTCTGCTTATGAAAAAAAAAAAAAAAAATGAAACATGCTTTTGATTTACATCAATAGTTTTCTCACCACCACGTCTTTCCAGGATCACATCATTATTATGCGTTGTATTTGCAATTTCAGTGGTGTTTTCTACAGAAAAAGCCATTTGCAAACTCCCCATTTTCCCTGATTGAAATGTTCACAATTTTCCATTGAAACAAAAAGCAGAGTTCAATCTGGATCCAAGGTAACTTTTACACAGCATGATACTTTTGATCATCTCTCCCGCCGACTTTCCAATTATCCAATCAGGGCCTACAAGTTTATACCTTTTCATTATTACCTTATCCTCTTGTAGAAGAATCATCTTGATAAGAAATTAAGTGATTTTTTTTGTTTGTCAAGGTTATTGATATTCTAACCTTGGTTTACGATTAAAATTTTAACCAGCAAGAAGTTGGTTGGATTGATAATGTCACTCACCTTGAGTGAAGTGGTCCTGGTGGAGTTTAAGTCTTATTGATAACCTGTCTCGGTATTATTCGATAAAGAGGTAGTTTTCAGTATTTAAGATGAATATATACGAATTTTTGTTATATTTATGATTTGTTTGATTAATTAATAAATATTAAAAATTTATTTATAATTATTTATTAAATTTAATAAAAAACAAGAATTAAGCCTATTTACACATTATTCATGATCATTCAAAAAATTTAATAAATAAATATAAACAAATAAAAATAAAGTATATTCACAAATTATTAATAAACGCTCTTTTCATTACACTCTAACCTAAATCCTTTTTCCGAGCCAGTGACAATGACCCAAATGGGCTATTGCTGCTATCATGGCTATAGTACATGTACAACTGAGGCAGGGGATTGGTTAGCATACGATGTAAAAAATTTGATTTAGAATGTTGGGTTTTCTTTTCCACTGTTTTGAGAAGTGGAATCCAAATTTGACTTTGGCTAATCTCTTCGTGTACAAGAGTTTTTTTTTTTTTTTTTACTTTAGTTCATATCATGTATAATATTTTAAGTTATAATAAAATATTTAATATAATATTTAAATTTTAAAAAATTTTAATATGATAATTAAATTATAAATTTAACAACTAACATGATATTTACTTTTAGTACAACTAATTTTAAATAATGACACATGATAAAAATAAAATTTTATAAATATCATATTAATTAATAAATTCATAATTCAGATACTACATTAAAAATTTTTAAAATTTAAATGCTATAATAAATATTTCAATATAATTTAAAAAGTTTTTTTTGACCTTTTTGTTTATCCTTCTTCTATGCCTCCATTGGTTTAAGTTCTCACCTATACTTCTAGTGGACTTTTTTTTTTTTTTTTTATGTGCAAATAGCAAGAGACTATTTAGAGGTAGAGAAATGGAAGCAATTTGGTGCTCGAAAGAATCCAATTACTTGGCTAATTGAGCAAAACAGGGAATGAGTGTAGATATGCGATTGGATTAATACTAAATCAAACGTGGTATCAACTCAGTGGCACATTCTTGCAAATCATTATTTCCAAATCCAACTATGATACCTAACAAGTTATTCAAGTAAAGAAAGCTTGAGGAATTTTAAAAACTGTTGGAACCATGTAGACTACATTAAACGAATGGACAAAGGATCAAGCCACTGAAATCCTTTTCTTCTTTGGGAATCAATCACTCAATCAATGCACCTATTTGGAGCAAAACAGCAACTGTAGAATGCCAACAAATATGAAGTAACTGAGCACTATAGACATATAGATTGCCCAAAGTGAGTATGGATCACCACTCTTTGTGGTTTCCAGCCTATCTCAATTCACTCCCAGTTTGGCATTGTCTCAACTTTTAGCTTTAAGTTGGTAATCAAGGTAAAAATAACACTAGTACTAGTAGTAATCAACTGATCATTCCATTCAAGGTTGAGCTACAAACGTAATTTATAATCCATTTATACACAGAGGTAGCCTAAACATTTGCCTCACAAATCCAACAAGTAAATACACAATAGTCCCCACCCTCCAACCTCAAAAAAATTCCAAACCCTAAAATCCCTATAATAAAAAGTAGCATTAATCTCTTTCAACCAGTCAATTCTTCCCAACCTTTTGACCCTTTATGGTTGGTCTTCAGTATCCTGTGGGAAACTCGCAATTACCATACTCTGTAAAAGAAAAACAGGCACTTACTTTTAGTAACAGTAAAACAAATGATAGATTCAGAAAAAATAAATCTCAGATTTAAAATTTCAGCCGTAGGCCCACACTTTACTAGGACAACAATAATTCAGGTAGGCAAATTGCAGGGCTGCATAATTATCATTTATTTAACACTGTTTATCTCAGAAAAAAGGGCCATAATATTAACCCAATAGATGGACACCACGTAAGCATTTGAAAGATTTCTATTTCACTTTCATGGGTTTTTTTGACCTGGCGTGCACCATAGATTTCTCACTCAAGTGGCCGACTAACTCTTCCGGTGCACATTAGCAAAGCTTGCAAAAAAAAAATGCCGAATTAAAATTAAAAGCAAGGGTTTATGATAGAGTACGAACTGGGTGGTTGAGTGACGACATAGGCCGCCCCGCCGAAGTAACAAGCTCCCATTTGGCGTCCGTTCTTTTGATAATAACTATTGAATGCGAACGATGCGTGGGCTTCGATGGTGTTAGGATCGTAACACGTGGAACCTCGCTGGATTGGATGGCAATCAGCACCTCCTTCACCACATGCGTAATCTAGAGCCGCCTGTAGCTTCTCCTTACCCACTTCACCATTCGCAACGCACCACGTGTTCCCCGTCGTACTTTTCGACACCCCCCCTCCTCCGCCGTTGACGGGAGTCGCTACCCTTTGTTGGTTCCCAGAGACCGGCGACGGGTTATCCTGGTAATTCTTCAACCCCTCTACAGTGAAAGGGATATCGTAAACTTTTTCCTCGTTCGGGTAAAAAAGCCCGTAATTTCTTTCCGAAGTGGGCCCGAACTTCATGTTCTCATTAAAAAGGGCAAACAGATAAACGGTCAGATCTGCTTTGGGTCTCAAAGGGGTTCCACCACCGGTCAAGATCCGACGGACCAGATTCCCATTATATGCGGCGGCGTTTTGGATACTCGCACCATTCTCATTCTCAACGCCCTTTGACGGCCAACCCGTTTCCGTCACAACCAATTTAATATCGTCATATTTCAAAGCAGACATTGCAGCGAAAACGGCGTCGATTTGAGCATCGAAAAGACTGAAATACCTCAACCCATTACCCGTATCCACCACACCCGGGTTCTCCCTAAACAACGCGTAGTCCAACGAGATGACGTCAGTGTTTGACTCGTAAGCGAAAAACGGGTATGCATTGACCATGAGGAAAGACCCGGTTTGGCGAAGGAAATCCAGCATGGGTTTAAAAACGGGCTCAACGAGTTCGGGTCGGAAAGATCCGGCTGAAGACGGGTAAGAGTTTTGGAGAGCGGAAAGGGCAATGGGGGAAGAGACTTTAATATCAGATTGAAGGTTGAACTTAACCAAAGCTTGGTGGATGTTCTTCATGGCGTGTAGGAGGAACTTGGTCGTATTGTGGGGGTCCACGAAGACTTCGTTACCAACGGCAATGGCTTCGATTTCAGTGTGAGGATAGTAAGCGGCGACGTTTTGCTGGACCCAAGTGTTTGCAAAGGAAGTGCTTTTGGCTGCAGCGAAGAGTTGTTCGTTGGGAAGGTCGACGGTCACTTTGATTCCGGATCCGGATAATGCATGTAGGACAGCAGGATCCGTATCGTAGACTTTGACACGGTTTAGACCTTGGGATTTTAGTAGTTTCACTACTTTGGATGCTGACGGAAGGTTGCTGGCGATTCTTCCATAGTTTACGCCAATAGAACCACAATCTGAAAAATGGTAAGAACAAATGCGTGATCTTTTCAGAAGAGAAAAAGCAAGGAACAAAAAATGAAAACTGAAAATGTAGGTTACCTGCAATAGTGAAAACAGAAATGAGTAAAAGGAAGAGAGAAACTAAAAAGTGCTCCATTGCTCTGCTCTAGTATTTTTAAGAAGCGGATCTAAAAATAACTGATCAGGTGGAAATGGTAGTGTTAGAGTTTAATGGTAGGGTTTTCCGTTTACAAAATGAGAGATGGGGGAGAGTTAGGGAGATTAGGCGTGTGAGTGGGAATAGTGTTTTTAAAGAGATCGAGATGGACCCCAGTATCTGCGGAAATTGACAAGAACCGAGGAGCGGAGAGAGAGCGGTGGCAGACCGGGCAAGGTAAAGACGGACCGAGGCAGGGGCAAACTCTGCACGGACCACGATTTATCCACTTAGGCAATCAGGCCTATAAGAGCGAGGAAATTAGAAAACAAATTGGTAAACATTGGCCACTACAACCCCACGTGGCCCCACTTACTCGACCGTTTTCTATGATGTACTTTTTGTTTTTTTTTTTCACTCACAATCTAAGACATTAAAAATTATAGATAAGACAGAATTTAAAATTTTAATAAAAATTATATAAATTTAATAAATATAAATTTTATGTTTATATTATATATAAAAATTATGATATATAAATTTTATTAAAACATAATATAAATATATAAATTATTAGTTTTTGTGAGAAATAAAGATATAATTATTGTTTTTTTGTTTATGCGAACGCTGCATTCCTACGCTACTTACCCTCATTACCATCAATGCTTATCATTTCTCCATTTCATCTCGTTTACTATTCTTAGCTGGAAGTGTGGAAAGGTGGGATTTGAGGGTGGTCGTAGGGAGAAATAGGAGATAAAGGAAATAAAGTGAGTCCGGAAGGGTGTATTAGGTGAATGGGATGCTGTGGACCTTGAAGGGTCCCCCTTTTTACTCATTTTTTTTGAACGTTGGTTTGGGACAGGGAACTGCGGTGCTCATAACTGGATGGGAGAAAAAAGTAAAATTGCACCATTATTGTGCTTTTTTTGTATTGTAGTCAAACCACATCTAAATCTGTAAAAAAGTGCGTTAACGTTCAGATACTTCTCCCATGGATTTTGATGAACAAAATACTGTACAATAAGGGACAAATACAAAGCAATATGTAATATCGCATTCATTATTCAATATAGATATGAATGATGTGATCATGTAATTTAACGGTAATATAAAATAAGAATAATAAAAAAAATACAAAAATAATATATTTTAAAATTTTAAAAAAATTATATAAATTTAATAAAATTAAAAATATATTTTATATTTTCATATCATATAAATTATCAATATTTAAAATAATATAAATATACCAATGATTAAATTTAAATTTATATAATCCAATGATCCGATTGATTATAAATAGTTTATTGTTGTAATATTGAATTTTTCTTTTTTTTTTTACAAATGAAACTTGCTCTAAAAATTGTCGGTCTGCAGTGATTTATTTTTGGTACGGGACTCTGGAGGGCTACAATAAACATTGTTGCGATCAGAATTTTTTTTACGAGATATAATCATTTTAAATTTTAATTATTTTAAAATTAAATTGGATCAGTAGAAATAATTTTCTTTAATATTTATTTTTTTATTCATAAAATTTAAAATTAAAATTTTACTTAACAAAAATGGAGCTATTTATTATTTAAACTAACAAACGTCGGTATTGTGATCAGATTTATCATTTATGAGTGAATGGTGATTTCTTTATTTATTTCTAGAACTTTTGTTTACCTGGAGATATGAATAAAAATATTTAATGAAACATGACCTGTCCAGCCTCATTGAGGCCAAACGAGGAATGGTGGAAATACTCAGGAAACAGCCAATTTGGTTGATGTTGTTGCATTACAGTCAAGACCATAGCTCTCTAATGGGCACAAACAGTACTTAATCTCTGCTTTGGTTCCATTACCCATTAACAAACTGTGATAAAAACTTTCCCATTGGCTTAAATTTGTTTGATAACATTAATTCTATGTTTATTAAAATTAAAAATTTAGCATTCTATCAAATCAGACTATTGTTGAAAAAGTTTTACAATATTTACCTACCCAACATGTATTAAAATTGAAAATTTTTACTATCAACTCAATTGAAATTGCAGTACTTATTATTTAAGTTGAAATTTAAAAATGATTGATACATATTTTATGAACAATACTATTTGCCTCTACATTTTTGTCCCATCTAACATGGAAATAACTTATTCATTTGATTATAACATCTTATTTTATGAATTAATTGATTAATTTATAAATTATTAAACTTTATATATTGAAATTTATCCAATAAATAATTATATATCATGTTAAAAATACAAATGTTTGAAAAAAAAAAAGTGACGGGACAAGCTAGTAGCATGAGTGCATGACTCCTATTTCATATGTTCTTTGTCTTTGTTATATTCAATACCTAGCTCATTTATTTTTGAACATGCAAGTTTTCATGTTAAGTACATTTTTTTTTTTTTGGTTGAAGTTTTGAGATAAGTTGTTTTAGAAGCTTTGAGTTACAACTAATTTTAAAATGTTTACTTTTTATTCCTAAATTAATAATAAATTCGTACTTGTTATACATGAAAAAGGATGAACTAAAATGAAAAAAAAAAAAAAAAACACTGCAACAAAAAGCATGTCGTCCCACTGAAGTTTCCTACAAATTTGCTACTAATACAAAGGCTAAAGTTGATAGCCTATCAAATATAGCAGAAACACTTGCTAATAGAATGCTTTGTCAGGGTTGGCACTTATAAACGTAGATATAAGTGGTTTAACAGTCATATAATGTGATGATTAAGTACTGAAATGTTGTTTCAGAACAATAATCAAACTGTACCAGTCTCAAATACCAAAGAAAACATAGATATCAGTGAGGATACAACTTCCTTTTGGGTTTGGCTGGTTGTTATTCTCTTCTTTCGATCTATTATAGTTTTTCCTCTGCCATGATTTCTCTTTCTTGCTCTATTTAAGCAACTTCTAGGTTTATTTTGCTGTGGATATTCTCTTTTTTTATTGAATAAAAACATTTTATTTAAAGGTGAATAAAAATATAAATTAATATTATTTAATTATTTATATGTTCAAAATATGTGTAAAATATAAATAAAATAATTAAAATATCAAATCATAACAAAAAATAGTTTTTAATTAAAAATTGGACAAAATTTAAAATATACAATAAATAATATTAAAAGAAGAAAATAATAATAAAAGAGATCAAATTAGATTTCAGTTTATCCTAATTTTTTATAAATAAAAAGAGTGTTATGACTTCGAAGAGAAGGAAGTATAAAAGATTATAAATTTTTTATATAGAGTAACGATCAATGAGCTATTTATATTATATATAATATGATTTTCATATTAAATTAATTCTTGTTATTTTTAACAATATTTTGACTTAAATAACAGGTTTAAATTATTGTAATCAAGCAAATTGATAACATAATTTTTTTTGAAATTGTAAGAAAGCTTAATTGAGAGAAAAAAAAAAAAAAAGATCTATGGACAACACCTATAAAAGATAAGAATAAATGTTTTTGTAACTTTACACTATATAATATATGAAAAAGGAAAATCAATTGAAAGTAAAAATATTATCTGATTAAGTGAGAAGTCAAAAGTAAAGATAAAATATTTGTGAATAGCATCTACAAAAAATAAGAATACATGTGTTTATATAACTTTGCAAATTGTAATATATGAAAAAAAAAAAAAAGTTAAACACAGAGGGTTATGGTTAACCAAAAGTATACAATTTTATACTCATAATAAATATATAAATTTTATTTTAAATATTTCATTTGGATAAATCTAATTTTAATTGATAAATCTGATTTGAATTTTAATTTTATAACTGTGATTAACGACATCAAAAATTTAATAATTCCCACAACAAAAATTTTAAGCTTTATAAACGAAATTAAAAGACTAATAAGTGTATTTGTTTTTGTTATATTATGAAAAGAATTATGTTGACTCCATAATGCCACCAATTCTCTAAGTCAAAATTATCCTCCTCTTCTTAATGTTTGGCTTGATAAACCTTAGACTCCCTAATTGGAAAAATTAGCAAGTTAAATATATATTTTTAAATTTATTTTTTATTTAAAGTTGTTAAAATTTAAACTCCTAACTGTTAAAATTAAGAGTTATATTTTATGAATAGATTACATTACTGATGATAATTTATTTTTTATCTTCTTAATTTAAACGAATATTTTGCATTTATTTTTTTTTCATTCATAATTTTTAAAAATCTAAAAAAAGTTCTGATCAGCATAAATTCTCGGAAAGGTTTATCTAATACTCGCTGATTTTTTAAAGGATACTGGCAAGAGGATATTCGCAATTCCATGATCCATAAAAAGAATCTGTTTGAAAGTTTAAATGCTTAATAAAATAATATTGAATGAAAAAAAAAAAAGAATAATTAGTATTTAAACAGAAATGCCCTTCTGACCAGAAAAAAAAGGCTCAAGTTTTTTCATATTATATATAAAAAAAAATGGCGCTGCTTAAGTACTTCTCAATTACCTAATGGTACGACGTGTCAATCGATGATTAGTTAATAGAAAAGGCCAATTTGAAAAGTAAATGATCGGGTACTAGTTTTCCACGTCATTAAGCTCATGAAAGTCGAGCTTAGCGGAAATGGTAAATTGAGAGAGAAAAAGGAAAGTAGGAGTCTACCGTGCTTTTCAATAAAAACCCTAATTCTATAAAATATCGAATTAGAGAAGAATCGGAAGCAGAAATCGCTGAGACAAAAAAAAAAAAATGTCGGGGCAGCAGGAGGAAGATAAGAAGCCCGGCGATCAATCCGCCGCCCATATCAACCTCAAAGTCAAAGGCCAGGTCTCTCTCCATTTTTCTCTTTTTTTTTTTTTTTTGCCTTTTTTTTTTCAAAAGTCTTTTAGGGTTTGAATCCGTAGATTCTCATTTTTAGTTTATTAATGTTGGAAGGTCAAATATCTACCTTTAAAAATTTTCCGTTTTCCCCTTTCGTTTTTTTGTTGGGTTGTTGTAAATTTTCTATCACATAATGAAAATTATGCTTATATAGGTAAGGGTTAATTTCATAATTCTAAAGGCTTAAATATGTTTTTGTATTTTCTGTTCGTAATGTTTGAGCTTTAGAATGAAATGAGATGATGATTGGGTAGTTGCATAGATTGATCTTGTTATCTTTTTCTTTGGCTGACTTGTTCTTGTGTTTAATATGTGGGATTAGAGTTAATTTCTGTTATTTTTCTTTTAATTGTGTAATAATTGATTGTTTTTTCTCTCGGTCCATGTGTTGGCATATGTTAGAATGATATCTGTTTGTATTGCATCAATCTCGGATTTATTTCTAGCCTTGTTGTGCTTGTTTTTATTTCTTGTAATCCAGTTTGGGAACCGTATAAAAATAAGAATTTTGGATTTGACATATGAATAACGGGAAGTCAATCGTTGATCAAATTATGGGGCTTAGGAAATTTGTAGGTTCATATAGTTTTCTTGCTTTTGAGCTGATAAAGAACTGCAAATTTGGGAAAATGATTTGGTTTGAATTATTGGTGTGGCCTTGAACAGACCTTGATTTGACTTATCTATTTGTAGAAACTCTGTTAATTTACTATTGAATGATGTACCTGTTTTGGCTTAAGAAGCTTATTCACTCTTATTAAGTAAGATCAACTCAAGAAGTGTCCAGAGTGAAGGTGTTGATATTGTGGTAGTGAATTTGGGTTTTATAATACAACTTCTTGGATTAATGCTCTCTCTTTTATTTTGGTCTAATTTGTATTTTGACCGTAGGATGGGAATGAGGTTTTCTTCAGGATTAAAAGAAGCACGCAACTGAAGAAGCTTATGAATGCATATTGTGATCGACAATCTGTGGATTTCAACTCAATTGCCTTCTTGTTTGATGGTCGCCGCCTACGAGGCGAGCAAACTCCTGATGAGGTATTGTTCTATTTCTCTCCCTTACATAATTGCTCGTAATAATGCGCAGGTGCAGATTGGAAATTGTTCAATGCATGATGAAATTTCATTTTTCTTTTGCTTTAGCTGGAAATGGAGGATGGCGATGAGATCGATGCTATGCTGCACCAAACTGGTGGCACAAATGCTTCATCTGTGTTCTCATTTGTGTGACGCAAGATTTAGTTTACTGTTTTTAGTACGTAGAGGGTGAGTTATTGCCGGACTACTTAGATGTTATATATAGATTTATTGCTATGGAGTGTTAGACTTGTCTTGTTCTGAATATCTAGCTCTTCTAGAGCTTTAATGGCTACTGTTTGGAACTTCATTTTCTTTATACCTTTGCTTTGATGGCTGTTTAACAATTACTTGCTATTTATATTCTATAAGTAACGATTTCTTGGTTTGCTACAAATTTAGGATTGTGATTTTTTTTTTTTGTCTTGCATTTTTAGAGTGGCTTTACATTGTGAATATCAGCTATCCCTGCATTCTTTGTTAGATGACAGATTAACACAGGTGGTCAATCATTTCAAAGGGGAAGGAAATTATTTTGTTATATGGTGTTACTACATTAACATTTACATACCTACATGAATCATCATTTACATTTACAGACATACATACATACATGAATCATGTCAAGATAATTTGACATCCATCAATATCATCCTTGATCCAGTGAAGGGGCTGCAATGAATTTATTCACACATCGCCATGAAGGTTTTGTCTTTTATATGTATAAAACCACTTAACGCAATCATTGATATGATAGACAAAGTTGAAAACATTTGTTTAAGATACTAGTAAACTGTAATTAGGTGTGTTTTATACAGTAACCTCCATTCAAACTGTAGATCCGTCGACAAATCATGTTTCGACCTGACCCCCGAGGTTGAAAGATGGGAAAACGACGGTTGGCGGAAGATTGAATGAAAGAAGATTGATTTGAAAGAGAAAAAAGAGTGTAAAATTAAAAAGGAAGGAAGAAATTAGAGGAGGGGGATGTCGGCAAAGAGAGTTTGAGAAAAAAAATTCCCTTCCTTTCTTGATCCAACTTGTCTCTCTCTCTTCCTATATATATACTTTTGAACTTTATTTTCTTTCTTTCGAGACTCATTTCCTTATCTGTCTGCCTTTCTTGAATATTTTTGTCTTTTTCAACATAATTAGGATTCTAAATGAATAGAAATTTTACCGGATTATTTGTAAACATATTTGGTTTTTATTCATTTATTAAGTTTAACAAATGATCTTAAATAGTATTTTTATGTTCGTTTATTAAATAAATCGAATATAAATATGAACAAAAATTTATTTAGTTCATTTACATTCATAAATAAATTCGTTTAAAATTTATTCGATTATAATTTATTTTATATTTGTTTATAATAATATTAATAAAATTATATTTTTATCTTTTATCTTGATTTTAGTTTTAAAGTTTATTTATGCTCGTTTGGATTTATTTATGTTTATTCAAAATTTATCTAAATTTATTTGGTTATGATTTTTTTTTTAAAATATATTTGAGAACATATTCATTTGATGTTAGCGAATAAGCTCGTTTAATTTAATTGAACTGAATACGAATCAAACACAAATATGTTAACATTTAAACGAATCGAGTTTGAACAAATATAATAATTTTTTTATTAAATATAGATAAAATCGAATATTTTTAAAAATAAATGAATAAATTACAAATATGTATTTATTAGTTAACGTTCTATTCTTTTATAGTTTTAAACATGATAATCTCAACAAATGATAAAATTTCTTTATGTCCTTTAGTGGATAGGTGTCAGGCCAGAGAAAAACTGGAAACAAACTTATAAGATAGTTAGATATTACAACCTTATGACATTCAGCATGTTGTTGTAGTTAAGAATTTTATTAAATATTTTTTATATTAAAAAATTAAAAATTAATGAGATTAAATATATTATATTATACAAATTAAAATGCGCATGGTTAATTTAGTATTATGAGTGAAATGATACTAACTCAATTATTAAATTTACTTAAACCGTAATTATAATAACACAAACAAATTTAAAGTTAAATATATTTGTTATTTTAATTCTTTTACAAAAACATATTTTTCTAAAAAATAAATTACCAACTTAAAAAATATCACAGCTTTAATCCCATAACTTCATTTCCTTTAAACATTTTTTCAAAACACCTCCATTGTTGGTGACCAATATAAAATACTTATATATAAGTAATGAATATTATATTGATAATTTGATTGAATTAATTCATATTTAAATATATTATTGAGTTCATACTAAATTAATTTGAACGGTCATCATTTACTTTCTAACAATCAAATTGTAAAATTGCATAAAAAAAATGGTAACATTACATGAAAAAAATGAAGGGATAAATATAAAGCTTTTAATCAACTAAGCAGGTATATTTGACTATTATCTCTGAAATCATTGCAATAATAATTGTATTATCATCCCTTGTAATAGTAGCTAGAGGTGTAAATGATATATTAATACTCATAAATTATTTAATTCGATTCGAAGAAAACTCGAATTCGGTTCGATTATTATCAAGTCGAGCTCGAGCTCGAGTAGCTCGACTTATCGATCGAGCCAAATTTGAATATTCTTATATCCGACTCAAGTAGCTCGCGAACTTAATCGAGCTTTTTATATTTAAATATATTTTTATTATTTTAATTAATAAAATATTTCGAGTCCGAGTTCGAGTTCGAGCATGAATAATTGAACTCTTGTCGAATATACAAATTTAGCTTATTTTTACATATTAATTGAGCTTAATCGAACGAGCTCGAGTCGCTCGAATTCAATCACGAATCGAGATCGAATTTGAAAAATAAAACTCGATCGAGCTCGAATCGAGTATCGAGCCCTGAGTTGTGAGTCGAACTCGAGCTTCTCACTATTCGACTCGATTCAGCTCGATTACACCCCTAATAATAGCATACAACAGGCAACATCCAAAAAAACCTAAATATATAGCTGAAGAAATAAAACAGTAACATATTGTGATATTACTGAAGACTCCAAATAGCCAGAACAAAGCAATAGAATCCAAAAAAATGAACTTTTATCAAACATGGTTAAATTCAAAACTTTCCAACTTTTTTTTTTTTTTTGGATGAATATACAGATCACATTAATATTTACACACTAGAAGCTGACTTTTTAGATACTATAGAGAAGCAAGTATGGAAGAAAAAGAAGCTAAAGTCCTGTACATATGATTATGAATGCACCAAAGTTCTTAATGTGAGTATGAGCATAGTTCAAAAAGGCAAATGAAGAAGAAACTATAGACTTGAAGAATCTAACATTCAAGAGTCAAAAGTGGGTTCTTTTGCAGAATATACAAAAAGCATGGGGTCAAACATCATTCTATCATTGCTCCAATGTAGCAGGGCATTTAAAGGAAGATGAAGTTTTTAAACACAACCAGAAGAAAAGTATCCAAAACAACTGGCAAAAGTAGTAATGCCAGATTGGCACACCATCACAAGAATGTAGTGACATCAATAGAAGAAAAATATATCCATCTTAATAACTGACCATATGATCCAGAACTTAAAAACTTAATTTGCTACCCAGGGGAAATTGCAAAGCAATTTTTTAGGGTGATAACTGATAATGTGGGGGAAAAATAGATGAACCCTTAGTCCATTGATAAAACAGTTAAGAGTTCAGAACTTTGATCTTAAAAAAGCTTTTCAAAATTTAGAACTTAGGAAATAAAATTGAATGGATATATACCTATTCAATATATTTTTTTATAAGAGACCCGTAACTTGAAGATAAGAAAGAAGATTACAATGCTGTGTTTTGAACTCAGATCACTTCAATCGCTTCATTATGTAACATTCATTTCAAACTCCAGCTGCATAGTTTTTAAATCAGTACATTAAATGGATATATAATAAGTTTAGCCAAACAAAAAAAAAAGTACGTATAACATGCACCTCTCACCTCTCACTTTTCATTTTTCCTTTTTCACAATTTTCAAGCTAACATACTACCATGAACTAAATGCTGAAGGGATTTGACAGAATTAAAGACCATTCTTTTTAACTGATGGAGGCCAAGATAATCTCCGGTGGCTTGTACCATCAACCTGATGAAAATCCCCCACCTCCTCTGCTTCTTGAGGCTCAGCTTCTTCGCTTCTAAGGCTTTTGACGGCCAAGTCATCAAAACTTGATTCATTTTTCCAAGGGGGTGGAGTCATGCACTCCGAGTCTCCTGGTGCTCTTTGGGAGGGGGAGGAATCCTTGGCTGGTGTTGTTGGCAAAGAGGAAGCAGAATGCCCAACTCTCAGATTTTGGAGTGTTGAAAACGATTCTCTCATTGCAGACATGGCTTCAAAGAATCGGGTGCATGATGCTAAAGCAACAGGAATTGGACGGAGCATCTCCTGTGTGAGGAAAAGAAAAAGAATACCAGATGGGGAAACAAATGGTAATTAGAGAGTTAGAGATGGTAGTTGTCACACTCCCTGAACATAATAACAATATATATCAAAATGTGTCTTTAAGCCTACCCCCCAAACTGAAGGAGACTCCTTGAAGTTCTGACTCCATTGGAAGTCGGTAACAGATGCTGTCAATGCACCATAATCACTTGCAGCCTTCATCAGTAGTTCAGAAAATTGTTTCTGCAAAAATCCAAGTAAAACTGCCATTAGCAATGGAATTAGAATCTTTCTGTTTATCCTAATGGAACTGAATCAACCAGCGACCCCCAAGGTTCAAGCATAAATATTTACTTCTTTTCAGTTAAATTTTTGTGTGGAAGAATGTTTAAGTACTAAAACTCGCATTCAATAATTTGAAATGGGAGTATTTTAAAGTAATTTTTTTTCAATATTTAGGTTTACAATTTTTAATTTTGTTCTTTAAAAATTTGCATTTAAATAATTGAATTCCTTTATAAAAATTTTCTGTCTTGTTCCAACTTCAGTAAAACTAAAATCCCAGAAATTTTTTTATTTTCCATTCTGATAATACAAGGTTCTTGTGCAAATAGCGGATATCAAAATCATCGCATATCCAAAACAATTATACCAGTTGTAAACTAACAAAAAGTTCACACGAGTTCATTTTTATTCTATGTAACTGTAATTTCATGAAGCCAGATGAGCAATATATTTAATTTTTCAATGATTATATTTTTCCTGTATAAATTTCAGAAAATCTGAAAATTTAGAAATTTTAATCCTATTTTACTGCATATGGAATTCATTGGCTCAATAATTCAAGGTAGCAAAGAGATAAATACGAATTGTGGACAGAAACATAAAGGGAAGGGAAAAAAAGAATAAATAGTTCCATATATCAAGTGATCATTCATTCCTCTCAGGTAAAGATTTCTATAAACTTCAAGCCCATACTTGGTAGACCATGAAATTCAAAATTTTTTCAGGTGATCATCACCATATTTTAATTATCTGGCTCAGAAACAAACCTAAATTGTATTTTGCAAATAACTATCAAATTGGCATGAGTATAGTAGCCAATCAAGTCGCTAGTTATACTCTAATAAACTTTTCAGCGTCAAATTCAATGGCTAAGAACATAAATGGAAGTGAACTTATATTGATGAATGGTATAAAAGAAGTTCTCCCTGCATGCAATCATCCCAAGGAAACAAGAACTAACACCACTAGGTTTTCAAATTTAATGTGCTCATGCTAAAGTCAACCACAGAAAAATTACAAACCTGATATTCCGCTTCCACTGGAATGCAATCTAGGGAATATGGTTGTTGCAAACGAGCTATAATTCGATCCTGCCAAAATAATGAACAGAAAAAAATAGTCAGACAAATAAATGAAGTCATTTTGGTAGTGTGATCTGAAGAGTAGGAATATAATGTGTTAGGGCAAAGACAAGCTTCCTGTAGCAACCATATTAGCTATGGACTAATTTCTTAGGACAAAAGAAATAAGCCAATGACGTAATCCTCAGAAGGGCATCAAAACAATTAGGTCAATTATGGTCTCAATTCAGAACAATATATTAATAAAAGAGACTTCCAGGACACCAATTAATGGCATACACATATTTCTATAATTATATTATTGTTTATATCAACATTTTGAGTATAAATTCATAGTTAAATTTGGTTCGGATCAAGGGAAATTTTAAAACCAAACTCATAATAGGAGTTGAAATATAATTTGACCCATCATCTAACCCCATCGAAAAAGTAGGAAGATAAAAAGGAATTGTTGCAGAAAGTAGTGGCACAAAGGAATTTGAAACTGAGGTGTAAAATGGAAGCCATGTTGTTATGCATACGAGTGTACAAATATAAAAATCATAGAAACCACTATCATGAGGCATTCCTGTCGTTAGCACTCTACAGTATATAACAAGAAAACCTGAAATTACCTTATTCTGAATAACATCTTTCAATATAGTAGTAATCCTCGCCAGTGTCTCACACTTCTTTTCCATTTCACTTACATGTGTCAGATGTGCAACATTTTTATCATCCTAAAAATGCCATAAAACAGGTCAGTTAAAAGAATAGCATACTTGCAGTTAAAGAACCTAGGCTGTGCTTGAATTAGCAACATTAACTTAACAAATAAAATTCTATGTTTTATAAAAAATATTTTCAAACATATATAAAAAAAACCCTAAAAACAATAGGAGTAAATAATAAATAAAAAAACTAGTTTTCTTTTTGTGTGTGTGTGTGTGGTTGTATTATTATTATTATTATTATTATTGTTATTATTATTATTATTATTATTATTATTATGTTTTACATGAACAAAACTGAAACTGAAGTGCTCTTATTTTAATTAGCAATCACAAACCCAACACTTTTAAAAAGACAAGACTGGGCACAAACCACCAGTTTGATTTAGTTTCTTCTTGTCAATCACAAACCCTTAATACTATCAAAAAGTGCTAAAAATGATGTGAAAGAATAGTTAAACTGGGAAGCTTTACCTTTCGGCCTTGTAATTCCACTTGCAAATCAGCTATTTTTCTCTGTACAGTGGTTAGCTCTCTTAATACCTTTATCAAGTCATCGCCCTTTTCTCCAGTAGTAGAGGATAGGTTTTGCACATCTTCCTACAGAAGAAAAATGACATTAATTCTGATGCAGTTTCAAGGCATCTGTCCCATTGATTTTCTAGCTTTACCATAAACACATAGATTCAACATTTGTAACTAATCATCTTACAGGGCAGCAAGTGCCTATCAAAGGTTTCTAAATAAAAACAAAAGTAAACAAATAAATTCAGGAGACCTTTTCAAAATATCAAGGAATTGGAACAAATTTTCACGCTTATGGTTCCATGGGCGACAATATACAAACTATACGTTTAAAAAGAAAATGCTCTAGAACCTGAAGCTTAGCTCAGATGATTTATGCAATCACCCTTAAGATGTGGCATCTAATAGGTTTACAGTTCAAATCCTATCACCTGCAACCCATTCCCCTATCCTCAGGCTATGGCCTCCTTTGTAGCAAAAAAGAAAATGCTCTTAAGGCAATATATCTTAAATTCAATTTCATCAGACTTGCATGAGTAACTGATCTGTCATTTTAGTTTACTGCCTAAAACCCTATATCTTAAAAGTTGAATGAAAATCTCAGACTTGAGCTAGTGCTCATGATCCTAAATTTAAATTCTCACAAAGAGATTACATCCATATGCTACTGATGGTGAATTCTTCTTACTTGACCATCTAAAAGGGGAAAAGGGCTAAATAATTTCAGTATAAGCTTCAAAAAACCAAGTTCATTTCACAAACTGCAGCTAGATATGATATTATATTCAATTGCTCAGCATAAAAGCCCAGAATAAAGAACGCAATCTACCCTAGAAAGTAGTGCAATTTGGGAGTTTCAAATTGCATAATTGGAGTGTTTAAACATAAAATCCAATACTAATGCGAATGAAATCCGGCTCAAAAACAAATTATGAGCAGCAAAGCAAATGGAATTGTAAAAGAAAAAAGAGGACCTGAGAAGGAGGAGGGGGAACAGAGAAACCAAGATCGGCAGCAATGGAGAGAGCATCGGACATTCCTCCGATGCGCCTCAATGGCTTCTTCCCAACCCACGTGGTGTCGCTTCCCATCGACATTTGACGCCCAAACACTCTCTGATTTTGCTGGCTCGAAATTACTTTCGTGAACGGATGTCGTGAACGGACGGCTAGTGCCAGATGTGTCGGGCGTCTCCTTATGCTTTGAGTATTTTTTTTAAACCTGCAACTTATTTGAATTTAAAATTTTTTCCTGCTTTAAAAATGAGTTATCCATTGAGTCTGCATAATACAAACGGCTAGAAAATACTTAAAAAAATCGATTTAAAATTATAATATTTGATTTGATTTTTTTATTTAATTTGAATTAAATTTGAATGTTAAATATTTTTATTAAATTTGGATAGAAAAATTAAAAAAATTAAAAAAATCTAAATTGAAATAAATTATATGTTTTTATTAATATATATATTAAATTTTATATAATAAAAATAATTATTTTATATCTAAATTTATTTAAATATATTAAAAATTATATTAAAATAATAAAAAATTAAAATTAAAAAAGATGAATCTAATTGAATTATAACAATAAAATTCAGTTTGAATCAAATTTATTTCAAAAAAATTGAGTCAAATTCAGATTATATATTAAAAATTTATAATATTATACAATTTGATTCGTTTTCACTCATAATAATTTAATCCAAACAATTTTTAAATGATAATTTATGTATTTATATTTATTATTTTGTATTTAACAAATATAAAATATAAAAATAATTATATAATAATTCGTGTCAACAAAGTCATATACAAAATATAATTTTTAATTTTTGTTAAATATATATATTTTTTGTTAAAATTTAAAATTATATTATTTTTATTATATCATTATATCATGTTTAAAATTATCATATTTATATCAATTAACTTTAAATTAATTGACATATTATTAAAGTTTACTCTCAAAAAATTGAGGGCTCGAAAAAATTTACATGTATATATTTTTCTTCAACCGATACGAAAATTTAAAGACATATTAAGAATTTAAAACAAAAATTATCATGTCTAGCTATTTATAAGGCGGAAATCCCTTCGGTCATTTCAAACCCAGCAAAGAAGCCCAACTTGATATCTTTAGGCCCTGGATTTTAGGGTCCGTCTCTCTACAAAATAACCAAATCCGGTCGATCCCCAAAGCGTGTTACGTTGTGTGCTTGATTTGAACCGGGTCTATGTGTGGTTTGACCAATGATCATCTTTTCTATTGCTGAATAATCACAGAATTTTGAGCATCTTAACTTCTCATCAATTTTAATATCATCAAGGAGGACTGAATCAACTGATTTCGTTACTTTATTGTTATTGCCACATTTACAAGAAACAGAGATTAAATGCTATAGAACCCTACCTGGATCCGTCTTACAACGGCCCACAAAAAATTGGAATAACAGTGAAAACAAAATGGAAGATAAGACCATCAGGGACGTGTTTGTTTCTCATATGAATATCATCTTTCTTTCTGAATATTTATAAACTTAATGGAAAAAAATAATTAACAAAAATCCAAATCTTCAACTCCACTACGTTGGTGGAAAGAACCTGTTGAGATTGAATGGCAAAGTGTAGAATTCCTCATTCCTGTTGTCTCCTCTAAATGTTCTGAACTTCACCCACCATGGCATCCCTCGATCTTTTTTCGATTTTTCCACCTCTATTGTGTTGTCCAAAAACACCGCGATGATCAGACCTACTGTTGCCGGAGATGAGAATATGGTATTCAGAGATGCATTGAACTGCAAGGACACTTGCCCGAATCATTATGGTTTAAATACCTTACCATACCATTTTGGCAGGATTCTAAATAGGTTTGGCAACAATACATACCCATCCAGCTTTGGTGTGAACAAGCCCCCGGCGTGTTGGATTCCAATATTCATTAAAGAATTGTGGGATAGAAATTCCAAGGAAGAGTGATAGCCCAGTAATGATGAGGTTTCTCATACAATTCATGTTTGTGAATTGGAGAAATGACAATCCAACTGAAGCTGCAAGCAAGCAGGAAATTGTAATCAAGGCTAATAAACAGCACAAAAATAACAGAAAAAACGACTTGGATATAAGTAATACATACCCACAAGGCCAAAGAGTATACAATATAGTGCTGCAAATATTGGGAAAGGTATGGATGCAAACACAGCTCCAAATTTTCCTGCAAAAACACGAGTTAAAACACCATAACGGGGGAAGAATATGTCAAGAATTTGTTGATGCTGACAAACTAAATTTCTTGGCTCCCAGAGAAAAGGAGAAAAAAATGCAACACAGGTAAGTATGATTCCTCTTAAGATATAATTGACTGTCACAATTAAGTCGTCTTAATTGTGATTTGTAAGTCAAAAAACACTGTTTGTCTAACTCTAAGCCACAGATGGCTGGACACTGGTTAAGAGAATTATAAATGCTTCCTCAGGATTCCAGAGTAAGGTGGAAAGTACCTAAGATTGAGAAAAATATCATGAAGGCAGCAGATATCTGAACAACTCTGCGACTTCCAACTCGGGTTAGTCCAAGTAGTCCAACATTTTCCCTGAAACATAACATGATGTCTATAAACGTGGGGGAAAATACAAGACTAGCAGCATACAGCAATAGCTGATCTAAAAGTATGTCTTACACAGAAACAGTAGAACCAGTTCCCGTTCCAAATAGACCATCAAGCAATATGCCAATCCCCTGCCAAATGATTATGAAAATCATCAAGCTTGTCAATGTGCTTGGTTAAAGTATGACAAAAAAAAAGGGCATTTGAATGAAATAATCAAATTAATAAGTTAAATATAAGGTACACAGACTGACAAAAGGTGAAAATGATAAAATTGTGTACAGTCCATAGCGAATAAAAGCTAGAAGGATGATACTCATGGCTGAGAATGAAACAGCTCAGTTGTTTTTTACACTGAAGCATAATTTGAAGCAATCATGGAAAGATATTGTTCTACCCTACATGTAAGTTATTTCTTCATTATATCATTCAGGGACTGCTTAAACTTTAAATGATATTAAAATGTACAAAACTCTTTAAAATGGCAACCCTAAACTACAAGTAAGCAATCATGGTTTGTTGGTTATTGTTAGTCCGTTTTCTCTCTGTGAGGGCTTGTTTTGTTAATCATTTATGCATTTTCTTTAGCTACTTGTACCTGTTTGGTTGATAAAAAAAAAAAAAAGGTAATAGAAACATTAAACCTGCCCACCTGCCAGCCAATCCCACGGCTTAATACATAAGCTGGAGGTGGAGTTGCAATAGCCAATCGAGATGCTGCCTTGTATGCTCCAGTCGACTATAGCATGATAGGTAACATTAACAAGCAATTTCATCAACCAAGAAATTATTCTCGGTAGGCTTGTTAGTTTGAACTTTAAGTAGAATGTATCATCAATAAGATGTACCTCAACCATAGACACTAGAACTGTAGACATCATAGCAAAGGAATGGCCAGCTGAAAATGTAGGAGGACCCCACTGAAGAGGATATGGGAACTTGAACCTAAATCATAAAACATCAATGTCATAACCAGTGATAACAAAATACAAGTAAAGAGAAGCTGAAGTTGATATTTTGATATACCACGGAGCAGTAGATATGAGATTTGCTCTGTCAGTACGGCAACTAAGTTGAGTAGTATTTGGCTTGTCGCGGTAAGCCCCACTGGCAGTCAGTATAAGCGAATAGATCCAAATGATTGCAACACAGATCAATACAGGAAACCTTTCAAAAATAGGGAGATCTCTTAATGGCCTCACATGCTTTAGATACTGCAATTCCCATAAAGCCAAACATGTGAAACTTAGGAAAAATAAATAAGTAAATGAATAAATAGAAAATAAAAAATAAAAGGAGAGAAAAAATAACTGATATAGTGATATGGTAACAGTTATACTAAACACTTACTAGTGACACTCCAATCACCAACAACAGCATTGGCAGCCCGATTTCCACACAATTTCCCAGCTGAAACAAATATGCAAACAATGAATTAGAGGTGTGTGATACTCACATAGAAACAAGAAATACACCATTCAGCTGATCTCAGTACTGATATAGTGGTTGCTGAAACAGTAAGTCATCTGTTTAAACTAAAACATTGTGGTGAAAATGAAATGTGGATGGTTTACACTCCAAGTCAACATTGGAATTTAAGAATCTCATTCCTTAAAGAGCTAAATAACTATCTTAGCATTGATATCAAACAGCCCACTTAACTGAGAAAATGACATGAAATGTGTTTGAACAGAACTATAATATGATTACTTAATGTTAGCTAGACTTATGCATCCATTACTTTTCATTTAATTTAAGTAATAGTCTTTTTTTTTTTTTATTGAGAAATTGCATAGTTATCATAATAAAATGGTCCCAATAGAATCTAATTTTCTTTACTTAAAGGAATTAACGCTTGGCACCATTTTAAGAGACCAAAATAATCATCCAAAGACAATGAAGATAGTCTAGTAACTTTCAATGACACTTGTAAAAAGAATTTTGATAGCACACAAAGATAACAATCATATTCAATGAGCTAGAACTAAAAACCTACAATTCAGATGTTAGGATTCCTTATACGTGGCTGCAAGGGGTGCTGAACATATTAAATAGAAGTTCCATACCCAGGGTAAACTAAATGGATGCTCAATGTAATAAAAAAATCCCTTCTATAGCAATACCTACCAAAGGAAATCCTCTCTGAAACAATCCCAATCCTACCAATGCAACCACTGGTGCCGTACCAAGAGGGCTGAAAAACCTGCATGGAAAACCCAAACAACAGTGAAGAAAAAATATCCAACAATGGTGGGCTAAAAACTTCACACTTTCATATGCTACCAATGTACCGTGAAAAGAGACCCCAAACTTGGCTGTATCCCAGGATAATTTGTATGCTTGAGGCTACAATAAGAGCTCCTTGAATAGCTCGCATTGTTTGTATAAATCTCTGCAAACCAATCACATGGGAAGATCTCTTTCAAACTACCCCTAACAAATGAGAAAGTTCAATTTCTGAGAAGGAAATCAAATTGACAGACTCTAGTGGGATGTAAGCTGGCAGTGACGGGAAGCCATGCTAACAGTAGCACAGCTTTTGACACCATGAGTTTGAAGATGTTAGATTCATCAACTTAAAAGCATAATTCTGTAGGGTTAAAACAATTGTTTGCAACAAGCATCTTATTCTCAAGAGAAAGAAACCCATTAAACTCATGTTTCACTGGAGCATTTTTTTTTTAATTCAATGTTGATATGTGGGTCTAACAAGCAATTCAAACTTCAGCATTTTCATGTCTGGTTGACTACAATATTGTCCATGATGAATCGATTTTACAAGGTAAGCTAGTTAGCACATTGAAACCTGCTCCCTTGATATTGTTCTGAAAGGTCAGATTTCTGTCTCAATAACAAGTCCTGACAATTAGAATGGTGACAAAAGAAATCTCACATCAGTTAAATTGGGGTATCCTAGGAACATAAATATAACAAGTGCCTCTTCACCTATTGTCAATTGGTTTTAGGTTAGATACTCATTCTAAACTTTAACATGGTATTAGAGCAACCAATTGGTTTTAGGTTGGATGTCCACCTAAAATTTTAACATTCACAATGTAAGAGTTCTTTGTCTTCCTATAATTGAATATGGGAAAAATAAAGAGTTTCTCTTTATCTGGTCGCTAGGTTAGAAGGCAGAATTTCACTACTTTGTTTGCTATCCTGCATATGTTCACACAGTTCTGGTGTTCAAATGCTATGAAATAAAAATTTTTTATTTTTTCAAACTTATCAGCTATGTTTGTATGGTTAGCATGTGCTCAAAAATAAAGAAACAGGTGGTTGCAAGCAACTTACTTCATGTCGATCAGTAATCCGTTGCAATGACGAGTCATTTATTATATAGGCAATTGGGATGACATAGGCATAAGAGCCACCAACAATTGCTGGCAACCTTGTTCCAAAAAGTTCTTGGAGAAGTGTGTTAATGCCAGCTACAAAGAGCAAAGTCTGTATTACCCGTGCTTTGTCCCCCTGGTTATGAGCAACAAAGGATAAAGAAACAGAATAGGTGTTAAAGAAAATAAGGAAATTTTAGCAGAGGGATAAATGCATGAGCTAAAACGGTAAATAGTGCCTCTAAGATCCTCTAGACCAAAGTTCAACCATATATGATTACCAGTTTTCAATCTACTGTAAAGTTGAGAAGAAGAGAAAAGAAGAAAAAGAAAAAAAAAAAAGCAAAGACAAGGTCTAATCTCAACTCCTTAATCAAAGGCGTATTAACCTAAAAAATGATACTAGTTGGGAACTAATGTTCAAAATTACCAGCATAGTTCCATTGTCCTGGCAGCAACTCATGATATAAACCAAGCATGAATCAATATGATAACAAACTAATAAAGTTGAGTATAACCATCTTACATCGCTTCCACCCATCGCTGGGACAAGCAATGAAGGGATCATTACACTTGTACCCAATATCAGGATATAGTTCTGAAATGCTAATAGGATGGTTTCAGCTGCAAGAAAAAGCTGTGTTTATAAGCATGGGCAAGATATTCAGGAATAAACTTTACGCCTACACATGTGAACTGACAAAGTCAAAATGAAGACTTGTTTCTAATATGCATTAGTTTAGACTTAATCGAACTGAATATTTAAGCAATTGATGAATTATTTACAATAACAAGGTATAATGCGACAAAGCTGTACATGTACATTACAAAAAAATATGCGGCAAATATACAGTGAGAGAAATGTGATTGCAGTACAGCTACAGGAATGAATAAATAACTAGCATTTTATCTCCTAAATTTTACTCGGCATGCAGCTATAGGTGTGAAGAAATAACTAGAATCCCTTAATTCTTGGTGTAGATCAGCATTGATTAATGGTGAAAGAAATTATTACTAAACCCTTATTGTAGGGCACAAATGAGATCTACATCAATGAAACTGTTTAAAAGAAACCCGGTGCACGGCAAGAGCAAAGTATTTCCTTCATCGGCTCATGATGGGAAAATTAATCAGATTTCAACTACTTATCTACTAGACTAAATCATAACTACAGTCATAAAAACATTAACATCCATCAAAAGCATCTTATTGTAGTTGCATCTATGATGGAATGCAATCCTTCAGCATAACTTACTCCCTATAAGGACCACTGTGTTATTCATCCAACTCTCACCTTTTCTTCACCTTATGTTTGTCTCAACGAGGCCAGATGTTATGCTTATAGGTTGGTGAAAGTCAGGGTTCCATACACAGGGCAAGAGAAGAGTACCCCAGTGGCCAGTAATGCAATTGGAAAATGAGAATTAACTAGCAGCCTAGTCAACAATGTGGCCCAATCTTAAAACCAGGGAATACAAGAAATATCCTTATGAAAACTGAATTGATTACTATTCTTTAAGCTGCAAAGCATTTAGCTTGTTTACTTCTCGGTTATATCGAATTCACATAGAGGGTATAAAACCCTACAAAAGAACCAAAATTCAACCTATGTTTTTCTTAGACATTTATCTCACAGTATATCAACTATTATCAACCTTCTCCCAGCTTCATATTATATTGTAGTAAATAGGTAGAACCATTGCTGGATGGAGATAGGTGAGACCTTCAGAAGTCTGATGCTACATAGCCAGTACACTGGTATGATTTGTAGCGAGGTCACTTTCAAGGAAGGTGGCAATGGTGGTCAAATAGGTTCCCTTAAGGGTGGGCAATCCAATATAATTAGCAGGTGCTGGCAAGGATTTTCAGAAGTCTGATGGTTCACATGGCAAAAATACCTTTGGCGTTCAAAAAAAAAATGCAATGATCAAATCTCTAAACAAAACAAAATAGACCTGTCTCGCTCAGAATCTAAGAAATGCTGAAGTTGAAAGCCTCCTTAATAGGTCAAAAACCATCATCACCCTCATCAATCACCAAATAATTCTTACATTTGGAGGGTTGATCCAATTTAACATGCACATAGAAACAGCATATCCTAATCTGGATTTGCTATAAGCAAATGCACAAGGTGCATGATCTCTTCCAACATGGCATCAATCATCTGAGTGAATCTTACCATACACCAAGAGAGGATAATTATAAATACAAGTATGTCAGTGTTGTGTGCCTGAGACAATAGATATCTTGTCTTACAAAAAAAAATGATCCTCTTCTAGGCTGTGGTCATTGCAGTCATACTGAAGGCACATATCCCCAAAACTTGCATGAGTTGACTGGATTTCCAAGTTGATGACTATCTTCATACAAAGCAAATAATACCCAGTAGTTGCATTCATCAAGTACGACGACTATTGCAGGCATTAGGCAACCAAAGAGGATTATTCTTTAGGTAAAGGAGAAACTACAGAAATGCTATTCCATTCAGTAAAGTCCCAAACACCATGAATATCAAGGAATTTTCTGTTTGGTACCCGAGAAAATAAAGGGAAAAAAAAACCAATAAAATCATTACAGAAATTCATTGCTTTCTTGATGAATTCTGACTATCCAAGGAAATCGTGAAAAGGGAAAAACTCCATTGGTGTCAAAATTAATAAAAAAAAAATCAGCATTTTGTCAGTAAATCAAGGAAAAAATGTTTGCGCTAAAATGTTACACTCATGGTAAACAATCACGCCATAAACAACATTCAGGAAGCAAAATTAAAAAGTGGAAAAAAAAAAGTCATCTCTTGAAAAAGAAAATTATTTTGCCGCTACTGGTCTGGGGTCAAGTTCATAATAATGTCATAATGTCTACTATTTCATTCACAGAAATACAAAGTTACTGGCTTTACAGACTATAAAAAGAAAATTATTGTTTTTAGCCATAACTATGACCCACAACTTCATTTCTTTTCTTTCTTTTTTTCTCTTTATGCACCATCCCAGTTTAATAACTCATAAAGCTTAAAGCCATTACCATAATGAGAACAGCAAAGAGAAAAATGGGAGAGACCAGAAAAAAAACATAAAAGCCATTTTTTTTCATTAACTGCTTCTTTTAGTTATAAAATAATCAAAACAACAGTAGACAAAAGAGAACGTACCCCAAGGAGGGTTAGAGTCGATGCAGTACTCAAGGTCTTGAAGCTGATCCATGGGAGGATGGGTTATTTCTGCCATTGTTCTTACGCTTTGGGAAAGAGAGAACAGAAGAAGTTGAGGTAGGAAGAAGTAGTAGCAGTGGAAGAAGAAAAAGGAGGAGAGAAACTTATAACAAAGGAAAGTACAGATATAAAGTGAAGAAACGTAGCTTCCAAGGAAATAAAATTTTTAAAAGAGTACAATATGTCAATGAGCAAAAGCAAGGAAGCAGTAGCCTCTCAATGAAGCCCACCAACACTCTATTTGTTTATCTCTCTTTTCCTTTCCTCACCTTTCCTCTCTGAAGCTTCTTCTTTTGAACCTGTTTTTTTTTTTTTTAAACACTGTTTGCCCTTGGTATCTTACTTTAATAGCCTTCTCTCCCTCACGTTTCCTCCACCAAGAGTCAATGAAACAAATACAACAGTGTACCATCAGAAAGCCACAACAGGAAGCTCTTAGGCTAGCGACCCCACCATGAAATCCTTGATGGTGTCCTTTGGCAAGTCACAATTCTCTTCTAGCTTAACCCTTCCACTTGACATTATTACACCTGCTGTTACAACTTTACTAATTATAGGCCAACAACGGTACCCATTTAGGCTTTGTACTCTGTCCTATTCCCATCCTATGGAACAAAAATGAGTGTAGACTTGTTGTATTCATCCATTAATTACTTCTGACTTCACATTTTTATACGACATTTTAGTGTATTTCTTTCATATTTTAACTTTTGTTATAGGATTATATCATAAATAATTTTTAAATTATAATAAAATATTTAATATAATAATTAAATTTAAAAAATATTTAATATGATAAATAAATTATAAATATATCATATAATATCATATATAATATTATATTATAATATACATAAAAATTTGATAAAATTTATTTACGTTAACGTTTAAATGAATAATTATATTTATTAACACGTAAGATAGTTTTAAATAAATTTATCCAATCAATTATTCAATTTTTAAAATTTAAAATTTATATTTATCAAAATCTTTCAAAGTATATAAATTTTATCTTAATTTAAACTGGAAAAAACATATCTCATATATTACTCTTATTCATTTATATGAAATATAAATTTTAAATAGTTTTTAAAGGTTAAATCCCTATATCTTAGTAATTATAAAAAATTACACATCATCTAAATCAATATTTACATAAATTTAAATTAAAAAATTTTGTAGTTGAACCAATATTATTTAATAATCTTTTTGTCTTTATTTTTCTATGATTTAAAATAAAAGAAAAAATATATTTTATCTCAATTTAAATTACACATATATCTATATTTAAAATTATACTAACTTCTTTATCATAATTTAAAATTAAATTTGGATAAACTACATTTTTTAAAATTTTAAAATTTTTAAATAAATAATTATCAAATATGTATTTATATTTTTTCTCGATATTTTTTTCTTTATAAAAGATAGAATAATTAGATATTTGTCACAAAAATTTGGCATGATAAAGTTGCAAAATCAATTATGAAAATATCTTTCATAATATATCACATGTATAAATCTTAGTTTTCATACTAAAATAATATATATTTTAAAGAGTATATGTAATTGTGAACTAGAAATTAACTTTTTCATTGAGGTTTGTATATAATTTTATTATCATAATTCAAAGTTTTAATAATACTTATTTGGATTCTTTCATAATAATTTATATTTACACGATTTTTGTAATTTTACATTACAAATTATAAAATGATTATGAATATTTTTATTTATCTATATATAATATAAAATTAATATAAATTCAAATTTTAAATTATAAAAAAATATAATAAAAATTTTCATGCATGACATGAGTAAAAAAAATTAGTTAATTAATATAATATTTAAAAAGTTATTTGTTTGTCAATATCATCATTTAAAATTAATAATAATAAAAATAATTATCATTTTAATTAAAAAATTTATAATTTAAATATCATAATAAATATTTTTAAAATTTAAAAATTATATTAAATATTTTATTATACTTTAATAATTATTCATAATATTTAAATTTGGCATACATATTAATGTAAATCAAATTTGTACATCAAAATGGTAAGATGGTCCATGATTTGAGTGATAAAGAGCTCGATTTTTTTAAGCAAGATCTCGATTTTGAGTCTTGTTAATAAAAAAAATAAATTTGAGAGAATTTGTTTATCTTATGGAATCCAACTTTGCTCAACTCTAAATTAATCAGAATTTAAAATAATTATTGATGTAAAAAAATCTCAAAAAAAAAAAAAAGAGAGAATCAGGCCCTACATTTGTCTGCGTGTTTTTCTTTTTCTTTTTGTTTTTTGGAGTATGGTCCCAGAAAAAAGGTGAGCAAAGTAGTTGGGGATGGAAAGAAGAAAATAAATGTTGTGATGATTTGAAGCAAGTGTTCGGTAAAGAAGCTAATAAGGCATTAAACGTTGGATGAAAGAGTTTTACTCTCTTTGTTTCTTTATGGCATGGGGTGGAAAAGACACAAGAAAAGAATATGTGCTGAGCTTGGATTGAGCAGCAACAGACTGTGAGAGGTCAGCTTTAGAAATAATAATAATAATAATAATAATGATAAATTATATCATTTGTAACTCAATTATAACAAGTAGTTACTATAAACAAATAAAAAATTTAATTTAATCATTAAAATAATAAATTATTTTTGTCATTTAAATGATACTTCCTAATAAGACATTAATGTAACATTATCACATTAATTATTAAATTTTATGTGATATTATTATATTAATAATTTTTTAAATTTATAATGTGACTAGACATAAAATAATATAATAATATCATGTGACATAGATAGTTGACGTGATCATTAAAGAATAAATACATATTTAAGTTTTAATAATTAGGTGATACTTTAAAAATAAGATCAAAATTATTTATCTTAATAAAAAAATTAAGAAAACAAAAAAAGGCAAAGTCAGATGAAAAATGAGGGAGAAGTGGCTTATTAAAAACAAAAATGTAAGCTTTCGGTGTATCCTTCGTAAGGGCCAAAGCGCGTGATTGCGACATCCCTTTGCCGCCCCAAAATCCGATTCCCATGAGATTATGATATTATGGAACCAATATCAAAACAAAGGGGGTAACACCCAAATTCTAACGTAACCATTTGCATGCGGGGCGGCCTGTCCTTTTCATATCTCTCTCCCTCCCTCTAAAGATAAGAATCTTACTACTACTGCTTACTCCTTTTTATTTCTTTATTCATGATTGCTCCATCTTTGTTTGCTTAGTTACTAAATTTATAATAAATAATAATTATATCTGAATCCGAAGCTTTAATCCAAACAATTCATCCAATTATTTAATGAAGTGAATTACTTGTAGAATAGAAATTCGGGTTCGTATGCATCAACGAATCTCCTGATCTTAATATAATAATAATAATAATAATAATTATTATTATTATTATATATGCACTAACCCAACATAATCCTAGTCAAAATAGTTTTTAGTTCATTAATTTCTAATAACTTATGGGTGTAAATAATCTTCACATGGAACACATATTTATTGACATGGTTTTTTTAATGCATGTGACAAATAAGTAGAAAAGAATATCCATAATTATTTTTTTTTCATTTTTATTATTTTAAATAATGAAGTGGCACACAATCTACTCGATTTTAGGGATATATCTTACTTTAACACGTTTAAATTTTCATTTTTGATAATGAAAATTTCAAAATTTAAAAAGATTGATAAAGGTTTCTTATCCTTTGCTTTTAAAAAGTACACGTTAAAAGAAAACCTATAAAAATAAAATTATTATTTTTTCAATTAAAATAATTTAGAAATTGGCAGTGCATTATTTGTTTTTTCTATGATTTGTTGAATATCATAAAATGCAAAGTTTACTCAAAAGCCTATTATAACGAAGCCTAATAACCAAACATTGTTTAAAAAAAAAAGATTGACATTCTAAAAAAAGCAAGTCATTAATGGTAGTACAATCAATTAAAAAATAATAATAATAAAGATGAAACTCTAATAAAATTCATCAATTTTGAAAGTAAGTTTCAAATTTGAATTTTTCAAGTATATTAGTGGATTTCTATTATTTCATTAATGGATTCAAACCCATTAAACATATATATATATATATATATATTATAAGTTTGATGGAATGTAAATTTAGGTATTAATCATGAATTTTAATTTTTAATTACCAAATGATATAAGTGAAATAATATAAGATTCAAATGAATATTTAATCCTTTGTCTTATGTGGCTATTATTATTATTATTATTTTGGTTTAGATGTGTTTTAATTTCAAGGGCAATTGTTAAGATAAAACTACCATTATATGAAAATGGTAATCAGTGATAATTAACGTTATAATAACGTAAATATGTTATTTTAGAGGGTGATGAATGTTATATTGTTCGATAATTGGACAGTTGATCATTCACATAGTGTATAGTGCTCTATAAACATTTATTTTTGGTTATCAATTAGATAATCAAATTGTTACATCTCTCTTAATTCAAATATTAATCTCAATTTCCAACAAAGGTGTAATTCAATTGGTAACAATAAGAGTTATTTTATTGTCAGTCTGAATTCAATTCTTACAGAAAAATATTTCAAAAGTAAAATTTTTAAATGCATTAAAGGATATGAGAGACGTTTTTAAAATCATCCCATAAAAAGATTAAATCTAAATAAAAAATTAAAATCACACCTAATTATATTATTAAATAATAATTATAATAAATAAAATTTTATTGTTGATATTTGAATCTAAAATCTCAATATTTTTAAAATAGAGATGACAATCGTTCATATTCTATTTGGATTTGTTGAAATTCGAAGGTTTTTGAATGATGAGGTGTCGTCGACGCTCTCTATAATCTAGAAAGTAATATTCAAAATTCTATTTTGAAAAGTACATCGACTTTCTCCGCCACATGATTTACGAAGCTTCCCGAGAATTTTGAAGCACACGGCCCAGCTCTTTGGACCCCATTTCTATAATTCCAATTTCCAAGTTAGGAAATTTTATTTGCCTGAGGACTCGACTAGTTTTTTTCCTATACTTTTTGTGCTTACTCTTTATTCTCCATCAAAAAGTTGTATTTCCAATGGTTTCCAATTTCCAATGGATTTAATTCTAGTGAGATTTTGGCTCAACATAAGCAAGAAAATTCCATTTTTGCCGACCAATATACAAGTAAAAAAAAAAGTTATTTATGAAAGGAAACTATAAAAGCAAAAACTACTAGAAACAACTAAGAAATTTTATGATAAAACAAGTTGAAAACAAAAATTTGGGTGCTAAAGAAAAGAATGTACCATTTTCTCATTCAATTTCTTTTTCGGGTCCAAAATACATAGTACAGACTCTGAGATCAAGATAAGTAGGCACCCAACAAGTCGACCAAATGAAGGAGCGATTCTTGAGGTGCCTATACCCCATAACTGTGACAAGGCGGCCATAAACATTAACCAAACCCAAAAATCAATATGATTAGTGAATACCTGTAACAATTACTAGACAATGATTAACTATTTTAAATAGGAAGTAAAGAAATTTAAAGTTTAATTTAATTAATTTATATAATCATTTTTAAATGATGACAAGGTTCAAATTTCAATACGTGCAATATTTTTTTTATCCTTAGATGGCGATCTCTTTTGTATCCAAAAAAAAAAAAACCACAAAACCCTAGTTTGATTTACATCAAGAATGCTAAAGCAACAAAAATAGATTGTTATATTGGAAACAAACCTGTGCTAAGAAGGACAGAATACCAAGTGCAAGCATAAGAGAGAGTGAATAGAAACGTGGCAGCACAAACTCCTGCGATAAAAATGCAAAGTTATGTTGAGAAATGCTCTAAGCACTTGAATACCAAGAAATGCAACAAATTTAAACCATATCCAAAATAACTATTTCTAGCTCCACCTGGTAGAATCTCTAGTTAAAACAAGTAGATATCCAAGCTGATTGATTTGCAAGTCTAACTAGGAGCAAGCGCATAATACATGAAATGATTAACATAATTTATTATCATGAAGTAGCTTCTCATAAGAAATAAAGATAGGTCCAGCAGAATTAATTCTTTGGTTAAACATAACTAGAACAGCACAATGCTTCAAGCAAAAGATTTTTTGTTACTTTATTGCCAATAGGTAATATTTAAGACATTAGCAAACAACATATTTTTGTTTGGTCATTTAGGTAGCAAACTATAAAAGGTTGGCTGCCATGTTCTAATCCCCAGACTATCTACTTTTAAGAACATAATGGTTAGGCTATTCTCCATGGCTTAAAAAATGCAATCCACAGACTTCCAAAGTGAAATCGAGAACTTGTTGGCAGATAGGCACTAAAAGTGCTAATCTGCATATTTGGAGCATGATGTCCCCGTGGAGGAATGGATTAATATTTGGCAGTCAATACAAGGCAGAAGTAAAAAATTTTAGCTTATTTCTTAATCAATGGAAGTCAAGCAATATAACTAGTTATTCATGTTCACCTCTTGTTTTTACATGATTAGCCTATGGCATGTATTGAGTCTATAAATATTAAATGTTCCCCATTACCAGTTTGAAATGTTTTGCTTGTTTGGAACAACTGCATTTATATAGAAGGCGCTTTCAATGCACAAGAATAGAGGTTTAGGCTCTTACAATGCATTCAAGCTACCCTTAACTACTCTCATTGACATCACTTGATAAGTTCATACACAAACAAGGATTTGCTAAGAAATGTTGAAAAAAATCCATGGAAGTATGATATGTAAGGTAAACCAGATATTTTGGACAAATTATCACGAGATTTCTGATTTGCTTACAAAATTGGCACTTTGTGGGGAAGTAATAAATGGTACAATTATGCAGCGGAAATGGAGCTTTAAGACATTAGATCAACTGTGGTCAAAACTGTGATTTTTTACATATACAAAAATGTGTCTCTATGAACATTTACAAATCGATCATTTTATGGCACTCACCTCAAAGGCAAATGTGCATATTCCTGCAGCAGGGCTAGCCAGAATGCCAAATGAAAAACCTGTCAGCAAAGAACAGGAATATTTGTGTCAAGTATTAATACAATTAAAGATAAAATGGGGGTAGATATCATAATAAGGTTTGCAAACATAAATATTGGAATGAAGATTGCAGAAAAAGTCAGGATCAAGTTTGATGGTAAGCAAAACTTTTAAAACATGGAAAAATAGCGAGAATTGCAGAAGGTGAAAATTTCAAAGGATTCCATTCTAACTCAAAAATAAAAAAAACTTACACAGGTTGATCTGAAGCCTTTGCTGCAGCCTTTATGAGACAGTAGCCGACTCCACCAGTTATTGATGAAGAAAAACCAATCAAGGCCGCATATAAATGCTGACTTCCTGTGAAATTTATATTGCTTGCTTCCTCAACTTTAAGTAGCCCTCCTGCTCCATGCCAGGAAGAGTGAAAAAGACTTGCAATAACGGATTTGCCACCTGTAATGAACAAGTACAATAAATGATATAATTAATTCCCTAAGCCAAGAAGAGAAAACAAAATCAAAGGACATGATTTGTTCATGCCCACTCCTCGTGCAAGCATTGATGTGTTTACTGTAAAGAAATTGAAAAGGTATTGCACTAGCTTAATCAGAATTTATTAAAGAAAACATGTGTACCGTGCCTGCCACTTGGATGAAATCCGTGTATATAAACCTTTCCATAGAAAAGCACAAAAAAAATGCAATGTACTCCTCAAGGATGTCAACTCTCCAGCTAGGATAATGTCATGGAAAAAGAAGATAAATACATGAAGAAAATAAAAAACTTTGAATTTACGCATACTTGAAGAATTAATTTAAAATGGATTTAAACTATTGCCTCAAACTGCTTTGTTGTGGTTTATGATAATTTGGTTTAGAGATCAGAATTCGTTTATGGAAAGTAAAATGACAACAAAAAGTTGAAAATAAGTTTTAATGAAAGTAGGTAGATGGAATTTTCTGGCATCACTAAGAAGATGAGTATGACTTTTGAGGTTTCTTATGATTTGGCTAATTGATGGAATTGGCTAGTATTGAAAAAAGTCTTCTAATTTAAGGCTCTGAATAAGGTAAGAGAGGGCGGAAACTTGGTAGGACTAAACAGTGACCTGAGAACAGTGAAATTAGGATTTAGAGTTTGAAGGTTTGGGATTTTTGGTGTTGGAAAAGTGAAGAATCACTGCTAGCTACAAACTTAAATCGAGAACAAAAATCTACATTAACACAGAGAAGGGAAAATAAATCCATATATACCAATACTCTAATATATGGAAAAAAGAAGAACAAGAAAATCCAATTGCACTAAGTAATCAACAAAACTCAAATCCTTAAGACTCTTTAATAGTTATATCTCTTGATAGTACCTCTCATATCCTACCAGAACGAGGTCTCTTAATCATGAAATTTAGAATGGGACTAACATCAACTAAAGACCATATAAAATAATTAGTAACTTAATAAAAAATGAATGAAACATATTTTCAATGTGGAATTTTAAACTAAATGGTCATTCAGTTTGTTGAAGTGAAAGAAATTCACGATAAAAAGATAAAATTTTCACTTTTAGTATTTTCGCAACTAGAGACAACAGACAGACAAAGAAATAAAATAGTAGCAAGCATATAGAAAGAGACAATAAAAATCATGCGTTAGCATAAATGGAAATGCTCTATTATCATTATAAATCAAACATAAAGTGGCAAACTAACATAAAATTCCCACTATACTTCAACCTTTAACATATCTAGGCATTCATTCTGAGCACATTCGAGAAGGTTCTGTTAACTCACTTCTGTACCTTGTGTAGTGAGCATCTGAAGAAAAATGAAAAGCACGCCAAAGAAATTGCAAGCAAGAGCTGGAAAGCGATGATAATCAATAAAGTAATCAAACCCCTACCACTGTAAGGCAAGTCAAATTTTATAGCATAAGTCAAGGTAGAAGGTGAGAAAATGTTAACAGACCTCTGATTTCTGTAATTTTCAACTTCTCATGCAAAACAATTCTAGCCATGACTGAAGCCATTATTGGAGTGATAAAGCTTAATCCATTAGCCTGAGAGAAAGGTATTCTGTGAATGCTGAAAAAAAAAATTGAGCAAATCAGTTATGACTAGAGCATTATCTTAGTTTTGTTCACGAGGATAAAGCTTACAGGCCATAGCAAGAGCAGTCCAAGAATGGAGGGACATTACAACGACTAGACAAATGAAAAAAGAAGCAAAACCTAGTACGGAAACTGAGAATGTAGTAAAGGGTGAAACTATTCAAATTTATTTAAACCAATACCAACGGTGGCTATCCTAGCAAACAGATAGGTTCATGTTTACCTTGTTAACAATCTATGTCCTATGCCAACCTGATGATTTTAATTTTCCAATTGCAGGTAGAGCAATGCTTCAATTAGTTTATATAAAAACTATGGCATTGCAGGTCATTGTAAGTTGCAAAGATAGGACTCTCAACAACTGATATAAGCAGGCATAAACATGATGCGGTTGCAGACAAACCTACCACCCCTCCCTCCCCAACAAACACACAAAAAAAATCTTCAATGCCTTATGTATCATTGGAACAAAATCCGTGTCTGTATAATCTAGCAAAACTGCAAAGGAAGCTTATAACTTTAGCAAGATGAGTATGCTGTATGAAATTTTCAAATAGATAAAGAGAGAGCAGCCCAATATGATGAAAGCTTTTTTATTTTCCTTTCTTCTTGGGTTATTCTCTCTCTGTTTCAGAAGAAGAGGGAAAGGGTCCCCAATTTAAGCAAACTCTAAAAAAGGCAGATAAGCAAGAATAAGAAGTGAACTAATAGATAAAACTCAATAACGAGAGATATCCCACTAGGGCTATTAAAACTAAAAGATTCCAGGATAATGTTGCTCCAAAAATTGGTTGCTCACTTCTTCTCAACCATAAATATGATAATATCAAGGTAGCTGTGCATCTTGTAAATGCAGTCTCAAATAAAGGAATTGACGGATCTGCCATCATAAAACAAAAAAGATAACTAAATCAATGGAAGCTTTGTGCAAAAATATCTTATGCCAAAAATAATTTGGAATCATCGAAAAGAGATGTCAAAAGCTAGAAAGAAAGAGAAAGCATAAATGCTTAAAATTACAAGAGGTGAAGCACCGTATAACATATATACCTATGAGTCAATAACAATCATATAAACTGAAACTTTCACTTCCTCAAAATTTTGTAGCTTTTACAATCCATTAAACAGAATGTGTGAAAAGAGTTTCTACTCTTTTTCCATGCACATAAAGACCAAGCACTCCTCCACATGATGACCAAAAATTACATACTTAATGTAAAGAGATTCTGCTTCCAATGTCTAGTAGTATTATCCCACATTAGTCAAGAATGGAATTTGTTGCAAACTTATACTCAGGTTGCACGTCTCCACCTACTACCATCAATTAGCTGTATATTTGACACTTAAAATGGAATTAGAGCTTAAGTTATTGTCCGCATTGTCGTTGGTGTTTGTTGGCAAATTTTCACAGTCGAAATGATAACCTCATTTGTCTCAATTATTTTACTAGGGCCTCCACATGAGGGAGAGTGCTAAGTAGCATTATCAAATAACACTTAAGAGTTTAGAGTTCATTGTGGTCTTAGATTTAGGATGAAATCTGCCTGCCTATAGCTGACTGGTTTTATGTTGGAAACACGACAAGTTGACAAGGTGCAAAATTGTGGGTTGTTTATTACATACATTTCGTAGTCAACATGATAGTCCATTAATCTTAGCTGTTTTATGGAGACCTACAAATAAGGAGAGTATTAAATCATGTTATCCCACATAAAATTGAGTTTGTGTTTTGCTGTAACATTATACTCAAGTGGGTCCTCTCCTGATTATCAATTGTTCTAAAATTAAATCCATACTCACTCAGGCTATAGCAAACAACGGTAGAATATCAAATTTCCCTACGAACTTACGATGGATTTTATTAGGATGATGAAGTTGCAGGACAATAAACTAAAGAGAAAGAAAATATGTAATTTGATTTTTATTTATGTAATTGAAGCTTAAGAATGATTGATGCTGTTTAGAATTTATAGCTATTATATCCCATACAGTTCTATTTAGATTAACTAGGGTTACACCTAAAATTTCATTCACCAGAACTAGAGTTGCATGGATAGGAGTAAAAGATAATTTAGAGGAGAAAAGGGACTATTACATGGGGAGCAAGATCTATGACAAGCCTCGTCAGCTGACTTCAGCCATAGAGGAGCAGAATCCTACTAACCCAGTTAAAGTATCAGAAAGAACTTCCCTGACAAAGTAGATTATAGATGTTAGGGCCATGCATACTAGACCAGAGTATCTGGATCCATTCCATTCATACAAAATAAACCATGAAACCAGAGATATATCTGTTTCTGGTACTTGTATCACTTGCTTCTGCAAACAGATCAAACGGGATAACCTAAATTCAGTCCATAAAAAAAATCAATATTACTTTTTACATTCTTGGTAAGCAAATGTTAGTATTAGTTTTAGCATAAGCAATATAGTTAACCAATAATTTAAATCAACCAGACAAACCCTAATTTCATGAGCATTGTCGTTTGACATCGCTCTGATTTAAATCTATATAAAATTGTTTTTTTTAACCATTAAGCTACTTCATTGAATGCAACATTATCCATTCTTTTCTAAGAAAATGAAATAGCAAAGAGAATAATTAAAGCTGCTTTTACTAATTGCATTGTACTTTCTTGGATTCTGTTTGGTTATTGATTTTGCAAATTTCTTTTCCTCAAGGCGGCATTAGAAGTTCAACAACAAAATGTGGCCAAACAAAGTCCTTTGATATTCAATATAAATTGTAAGAAGCAAAAAAAAAAATAAAAATAGAACAATAATTGGATTATCGAGTCAAGCAGTCAAATTTCAATGCAAAATGTTTCCAATAAACAAGTAAAATAAATCATAGAACAAACTAAAGATTCAGGCAGTCAGCAATAGATAATTTTAAAGTAACAGAAAAAAAATGTAAAAATAGAATTAAGGCTTTACTTGACTTACCCTAGGTTTTCTTCGGGAACGAGAGACCGAGAAAATGTTGATCTTGGGCCTCTCGCTCTGCGTCAAGAGAGGTGCAATCTCCTCCAAAGCAGACGCGGCTGAGCCACCATCAGCCGCCGATTTGGAGTTGCCAAGTACGATGAGTTCCACCGTATGATCCCCACCGTTGATATCTGCTGAAGCCGCCATCGTCACACATCAAAGAGAAGAAGAAAAAAAGATACCGTAATGCGTCCGTACAATGGAATTTTGTGTGAGTATCAACTAAAAGTGAATCAACAAAGTTGAGTCCCGGCGACTTGCGAAGGGAAAAAAATGGTTAATGTTTCTAGTAGTTCGTTGGTGGAGGTGACCGGTCAACGGTCAAGTTGTTTTGTACACGTGGCAGAAAAAGGTTTGAGAGTGGGACCCTTAAGTTATACTTGATGATTCCTTAAGTTATACTTGATGATTCTGACATTCTGTTCAGGTCAACCATTTGATTTGACAATCATGGAGAGTTTCACCATTTTCAAAACAACATGATGAAATTCAAATTAATTAGGTTGTGAACTTCATCATTTTTTTTTCTTAAAAGAAAAGTAACACCACATGTTCGCCGTGCAAGTCACATATAGAAAAGGGAGCTCTTTGATGCAGTAATGGTGGAATGGTAATCCGTAGATAACAGCGTCGACGATGACTCCTTTCTTTTTCTAGAAAAGTGGATGAATATTGCCTGCTGTGCTACATTGTTCTCGAATTACAGCTGGTATTTGGCCCAGTCATTGACTTCAGAGCGGGCCCATTTCTTCATTGTTGACTTTCTCAACTCAGAATGCCCATCTATTCGCCGATTCCGAAGTCAAAGGGAGTAGCAAATTTCTATTTTGCCCTTTTCACAACTAGCAATGTCGCCCGTCTCGTATAAACAGTTAGCCCTGTACTCCATTTCTCTTCACCCTTTTCAAGCTTTGCACCACTTTTTTCTTAAACTTTGATCATGTCACCTGCTGTCGCAACCAACGGCTTCCCTATCACCCGCAGGGAGGAATTCCCCAGCGTTCTCCCCTCCGCCGGCTACAGTGAACTCCAAAGTTACCGATTGAACCACAGCCCTCCCCTTCCATCTATCCTTAAAAACTCCTTCAAAGTCGTCGATGGCCCCCCTACCTCTGCTGCTGCAAACCCAAGTGCGTAACTGTTCCACATTATAATCTCCATATATGTTTCTTTAAGCTCTGTTTTTTTTTTTTTTTTTTTCTAGATTCATTTGAATATTGGGTTGTAGTCATCTCCCATTCATATGTCCAGGCCATTTCATATTATAAGGATTTGAACTCCAAGTTTTATAAGTGAAGTTTCAAGTTCTGATCACTGGGATGTCTTCGTACAGTTTATGTTGTTATAAGTTATAATATCCTCGAGTAGTTATGTAGTTTCATGGATGAATTTGCAGATGAGATAGCGAACTTGTTTCCAAATCTTTATGGACAACCATCGGTTTCGTTGGTTCCGGGTCATTCTGAGGTGAAGGGTCAGAGTTTGAAGATTGGAGTTGTCTTATCTGGAGGCCAAGCTCCTGGTGGACACAATGTGATAGCTGGGATTTTCGGTATGGACCTTGTTTTATATTTCTACCGGCTGATTACTTCAGTCTGATCATTGCTAATTTTGTTTAGATTTTGAGTGTATTTTTGTCTGATTATTGGGTTAGACTACTTGCAAGAACGCGCAAAAGGAAGTATACTTTATGGGTTTAAGGGCGGTCCAGCAGGCATCATGAAGTGCAAATATGCTAGGCTGACTACAGAGTTAATTTATCTTTACAGAAACCAGGTGAAAACTTTGAGTTTTTATTGCATTTTTTTCCTCTTTAGTCATGTCTACTGATTACTGCTTACTCACTTGACCAAGTTTTTATTTAATTTAAAAGTGGATGTATGCACATAGGATAGTTAGAAAAAACTGGTGATATAGACAAACTTTAATTCAGCACATGAAAACAAGAATATGTGCTTGTGTTTTTGGTGTTTCTTTCTTTTGCCTCTACTCTACATCATTTAATCCCTTTTTCTTGTGAAGAAAACCTTTTGCTGGGAATAGCTCTCACTATTACCTATATTTGACACAAGTTGGAATAAATTTACAGGGTGGCTTTCATATGATTTGCAGTGGTAGAGACAAAATTGAAACTCCAGAACAGGTTAGTTCCACAACAGTTTGGTTTGTTCTGCATTTCACTTAATCTAGTTCGCAAATTTCAATTGAACATGAAAAGATATACTGAGTTAAAATCTTTAAACTGTAATGTATCCTAATTAATGCTGGTAGATATTTGTGAAAATTTTTTTATTAAGTCTAGCATAACCAAATTCAATTTGGCTAGCCTTTCTAATTTTTAAACTTATATAATTGAGTTTGCATAGAAAATTGCTTTCAGTTTAAGCAAGCTGAAGAAACAGTGAAGAAGCTTGATTTGGATGGGCTTGTTGTCATTGGTGGGGATGACTCAAACACAAATGCTTGCCTTCTTGCTGAGAACTTTAGGTCCAATATCCATCTCTACTTAACAATGTTCTGTCAATTTACTATGATTTTCTGCAATTGTTAAAACATGACCTACCATGCTCTTCAAAAGAAAATTTAGTTTTGAACTGCTAACTCACATGATGACCTATAGTTCCTGATTGATGCTGTATGATTCATTTCATTAAAATGTTGCAGGAGTAAAAATATGAAGACACAAGTTATTGGATGCCCAAAGACCATTGATGGCGATTTGAAATGCAAAGAGGTGCCTATAAGTTTTGGATTTGACACTGCATGCAAGGTATTTGTATTTTGCTTGGTGGAATCTTTATAGTAATTTTCATCTGTTGTGATGCAAAATCAAGGTATAATACATCATAACTTGCCCGAGACTGTATTCTCTTTAGTGACACATGGATAAAGATTGCTTACCAACTCAAAATCCTGACTACAATCTGACGCAGATAAGCAGGTCTTATTGTCATTTAATGATCTGCATTTACTTGGAATATGCAGATATACTCAGAGACGATTGGAAATGTCATGACAGATGCTCGTTCAACTGGAAAATACTACCACTGTAAGTGTTTTAATCAAGAAATATATCAAATTGGATGAGGAATATTAGTATAATGAAAACTTTGTTCTCAATTATGCGAGAATTTTCATAGAAGCCTCTTATTTGCTCTCTTTCCACTTTATCAGGTTTTATGTGTCTCTCTAGATCTATTATTGTAAATATTTTCATACGAATTACTAATATTCTCTTTGGCTTTGTTCCCATAGTGGTTGCAATAATCCTAACCATCTGTTTTCAGTCATAAGGCTCATGGGCCGTGCAGCTTCTCACATAACATTGGAATGTGCTTTGCAGACTCACCCAAACATCGCGCTTATTGGAGAAGAGGTGACCTGATTTGATATTATCTGTTGTTTTCAGTTTTAGAAATTTCTTCTGTTTTGTGCATTCACAACAAGAACAGTGATGCAATGTCAGAAACGATGATCAAAGTTGTTAACTTAAGAATGACATTATTATTATTATTATTTTTTTTTGTGGTGCTGATTCTTAAACTTTTTTAGGCTTCTGGCCAAAAAAAAAAAATCTTTTAGGCTTCAGTTCAGATTTTAAATTGAAATATTTGGACATATTTGTATTAACATTATGGAAGTTACTAGTATAGTTTTTCTACATGTGGTTCCATAGATTTTCTTGACGCATCTCTTACTTGCAAGGTTTGTCATCTTTTGTATTTCTTTTTTCACTTGTTTTCTATCAATTATAGTGCTGAAATTGATGTTCCACTGTTTTTGAGCTATGAATTGGTGATGAATATGATTTTACAACCTAGAAATATGTTTATTATTTTTGTTTTTGCAGTGAAACTTTTTCTCTAAAGCTGTCCAAATGGGAGTTCTGTTTATTATTATTATTATTATTATTATTTTTGTACAAGTAGGAATTTTCAGATGAAGAATTTCTCATGGTACTAGTTATTACTGATTAAATGATATTGTTGATATTGCAATTCATATTCCGTTACATTATATGATGGGATATAAACTCATGCAGCATATTTCATTAGATGATCGGTTGGCTCATATTGTTTATCTTTCTGACCTTTCTGGTATTGTATATATGAGCTAACCTATGAATTTGTTGACAATCATTTCAAAAAATGTGCAAAGACTTCTGTAATTTTGTCACCACATAATTACTGGCAACTGAATGGTGGAACTGAGAAGTTATATTTTCAATTCTAAAATAAATTGAATAAATAACGTGCATGATTCAATGTCTTCTTTTTCCTTTTCTTTTGGGATCATTAACATTTGTTTCGTGAATGCTTCTCATTGACTTCACAGTTTGACAAGGTTTTATCTTTGATGTAGGTTGCTGCCAAGAAGCTAACAATGAAGAATGTTACAAATTATATTACAGATATAATTTGCAAACGTATGGAACTTGGCTTTAATTATGGTGTAATACTTTTACCAGAAGGGCTTATTGATTTTATTCCTGAGGTATAATTTTTGAAACTAGAAGTTACTCCTTAAGTTCATTCTTTCCTACTTACTCCATCTTACTAATATCAGTGAGGTGAATCACCTGCCTGTCAATTTGAAATTTCTTGGATCATAGATTTGAGGTGTAAGATGAATTACTTGCAGGTAAAACAACTTATTGCTGAGCTAAATGAAATTTTAGCTCATGGTATAATTGATAAAGCTGGGATGTGGAAAAGGAAACTTCGAAGCCAATCTCAAGAGCTTTTTGAGTTCCTACCTCAAGCGATTCAGGAGCAGTTGCTGCTTGAAAGAGATCCACATGGGAATGTGCAGGTTTTTTTTCTTCTCTTTTGTTCTGCAATACCTTTAACTTTCACCTCCTACCCAAAATGGAGCTATATTTTTAAATCACATGTGTGTCATATGTTTAGGTTGCCAAGATAGAAACAGAAAAAATGCTCATCGAAATGGTGGAAGCTGAATTGGATCAAAGGAAACAAAATGGCGCATACAAGGGAAAATTTCAAGCGCAGCCCCACTTTTTTGGGTGACTACTAAAATATTTCTTTTATCTGGATAACCATGAAAAAATATTCAATGACTTTTTATAAAAGTGATGACTTTCTGTTCATAATATCAATTTAACATGATATTTGCCTTTCACTCCATAGCTATGAGGGTAGATGTGGTTTTCCAACAAACTTTGATGCAAACTACTGTTATGCATTGGGTTATGCTACTGGAGCCCTCCTTCGTTCTGGAAAAACTGGATTGATTTCATCGGTCTGTGTTATATTTTCTCCTTTTTTGTTATCTCTTTCTTTTGATTTTTCACCATCTCATTTTTCTTTTAATAATCCATCTTCTAACAACTTCGATATTTTCTTCAAGAACGATGACATTCAACATGCTTTATAAGTAACTTATACAAGTTTATATCTTATGTTTCAGGTTGGTAATTTGATTGCTCCAGTAGATGAATGGACTGTTGGAGGAACAGCATTAACATCCTTAATGGACGTTGAGCGGAGACATGGTATATCACTACATACTTTGATGACATAACTCGAAGGGTAACTGCTATTGCAAGAACCCTTCTTGCTTGTATTAATTAATTGCAAGCTTGGTTTGCTTTGTCCCAGTGCTTTCACCACTAATCACAAGCAAGTTTCTTGTGCCCCTATTTGGCAATTTCACCCCAAAGAAGCTTTTCAATAATGGACATCAAAGTCCTAAAACTTTGCTAATTTCTTTATGCGTATATGTATGATATATTCCTCATCATGCACAAGGATCCCTCTGATTTTTTCTGGTTTAAACTTTCTGCCAGGGAAGTTCAAGCCCGTAATTAAGAAGGCAATGGTGGACCTTGAAGGTAAACGAAATTTGCACCTTTTTCTTGACTTAAATGCTTGCTGAATTAATTAGTTCGAATTTCCAAGTATTAATTTGCATACCATTTCAGTTTATCAGTGTTTAATTGCCTTTAGTTGCTGCAGTTGTAAAAGACTAACAGTGGGCTGTTAGACAAACAGCTATCCTTCAGAGGGATAAAAAAGAGATCCCATTTTGAGAATGTTAGGATATTTTTGTTCATTTTGTTGCCATATTGAAATTTCAGGTGCACCATTCATGAAATTTGCATCATTGCGAGACGATTGGACCCTTAAAAATCGATATATAAGCCCAGGTATCAGCCTTCTTTCTATATCACTGAATAACAATAGCATTGACTCATTGAGTTCAGTTAATATCATATGATATCGTCTTTAATTATATCACTTCTTTCGTATTGGTAACTAGATAAAAATTCTTAATTAGGTATCTGAACTTGTACAGTAAACAAAAGTTTGTAATTATGATATGAGTTAGTCTGTTAGGGTAAATTGCTTGATGGAATACAAGTTCATGTATCTAATTGCGAATTTTTATTTTCTAAGTACCAAACTGACAAAGTGATAAAATTAGAGGACCAAATTACTCATTACCCTTTATGATATCTTTTGACATGTTCGTTTGGTTGATAGAAGATTGAGGAGAATAAAGTAAAAGACAGTGTACATTAATATAACTGACTGTAGAATATATGCATTTTAAATAAGAATGGAAATAATCTGATGCTAAATCAAAACCTGCAAAGCTCTGTTTTTTTTTTTTTAAATAAAAATTCCTTTAACTTGGAGTATTTAGAACCAAAGAATTTCATGTAGTTTTTTGTATGTAATTCATATTTATCTTCAAATTAATGTGTCATAATTTATGTATGAAACGAATATTTTGATTTTTGTCGGATTTATATACTTTTTGTTAAAATTTTAAATCGTGTTATTTTTATATTTTTTGTATTATTTTCAAACCGTGTATGTGTTTAAATTTGCCAATCCTGCTATCAATGTTGTGTATGATATAATTGTAATTGATAAAGTTTTAGTTGCCTCAATTTAAAAAGTATTTGATGTTATTATTTTATGTGTTTGATTCAGGTCCTATTCAGTTCGTTGGCCCTTTTGCAAATAAAATCAACTACACTCTCACGTTGGAACTTGGGGCATAGTTTCATTTCTTTTAACAACGAGCATGTCTCAACATCCAATAACCTTTTTTTTTTTCCAACAAAAATAATCAAGACATTAATGTAAATAAATTCACTTTGTTTGGCACTCTCCATAGACAGAACGTTGAATTTTTAATGCTTGGAGTTTGGACAGGAATCGAATTGTTTCCTTTTGTAAAAAAGATCAATAAAGTTAAAAACAATGGCTGTTCTTTGGTGGGAGAAATGATCAACGGCCTTATTAGGTTCATTGCTAGAATTAGAGCCTCAAAAACAGTTGATAACCCAGTTTTAACTTCAACCTGGCGATTCTATTGCTTACTGTCACCTTCTCCGTCTCCCTTTCCTCCCAACAACAAACTCTTTGTAGCAGGTCTCCTCTTTTCTCTCTTTCATTCTCATAATCCTATTTTGGCAACGTCTCTGAAGGTTAGTAGAGTCGTTTAGGTGTTCGACGAATTGTCTGAATGATCTCAGTGTCAAAAACTAAATTTTGTTAATCATAACGAAATAAAATTTTCCTAGTCTTCTGGGAGAAAACGAGAGTAAGACTTTGTTTTTTCATGAAGATATAACTTGTAAAATGATTTTCTTTATTTTCTTATATTCACAGCATCACAGGCATATGAATTCACACAGAAAAAGTCTTCTATTTTTTTTTTTTTATGACCAATCAAAATTCAAGCTCAAACATACATAATTAATACCCACTAACTTTGATCAATCACTCCATTATCAGCCATGAGCAACTTTAATGGCCAAGAAGTATAATTGGTGATGTTCGCTAAAATTACCAGTCTTTCGGTCCATTTCAAAGGATTATAAGATATATAACTTATTTTCTATTGCATACCAAATATTTCCATTGGAAAATATCAGAGAAATGTGTGCTAATAAAACGAATAAAACCTGACCTTAAGCTCATTTGAGGAAACAACAATACCATCTGAAGGTTGCCCCACCGAATGACTTGGACATGTTCAAACCTGAACTTGAAGCTTGCTCACATTTTTTTTAAATGGTAATAATTTTTGCAGTTAAATCATCCTTTAGCCTGTTCTACCTACCACTATGATTGCTCTCTGATCCTGCTGATGTTTCCTTTTCTAGTGAGGACAATGTATGACAAAGACACCGGTAGGTCAATAGGCTTTGGGTTTGTTCACTTTTCTAAAGAAGATGCAAAAGAGGCTATGGAAGAAAAGTTATGCAAATTATTTTGATACTGTTGAACCTGAAGTCATCTTCTCTAGGAGATCATTTATGGGATATTGGAAACTACTTCCGCTGATATATATTTTATTTGGCAGCAGGATTGTTAGGTCGACTGCTAGGGATTAGCTTTGCTCTTGAAAAGGTTCGTGGTGCTCCGGTTGTTGTCCCTCGCCTGCCTAACGCTTGAATTTTCTCTAACGGGAAGGCTTGAACTTTGTAAGTACTTTCAATCTTCTTATCTTTAAGGAGGGTTAGAGCAGTGATGCTGCAGTGGAGGGTGATGAACTAAATTGGGATAATATGCCAAAAATAAAATGGCATAATCAATAAGCTATAGGAGTTGAAACATATGATAAAAAATAGTCATTGCCAATTGCAATGCATTTTCTTAGAATATTTTATGAAATGAAAAAGAAAAGAAAAAGCTGCTGCTTTTTAATACATTTATTCAAGATATGCTGATATAGTACTGAATGAATGTCTATCTTTGAGGTAGAATTTTAGTTCAAGACTTGATGAAACAGAATGTTTGAAGGCATATTTATCTTTATCTTCAACTTCAAGAAACAAAACAAACATCTTGTAGATTGAGAGAGAAATTTCAACTTCAAGAAACAAACATCTTCAAGAAACTGCCAGTTGTTGACAATGGGGTTCCCTCCTAAAAAATTGACTGATTTGGACCAGACAGTGGAGCAGGCTGGCATTGCTAACTCAGTTGTTGTCCAGAAATACTAGCAAAGGTGTTTTTTTTTTCCCCTTTCTTTTTTTACCTTCGTGACATGTTGACTCCGTGATTCGTCATGCACACTAAACATTTCCCTATTTCTCAGAACTGATGGAATTCATGTGATAGACGAAAAAAATTTGCTGTTGATTATGTTAGAATTGTTTAGTTAGTATGTCTTATATAGGGTAAATCCCAAAAAATTACTTTGAGAGGTTGCATCAAAGAACACTTTCAGTTCAACCTTATATATTGTAAAACCTATCACTTTTTCAAAATGGAAAAAAAAAAAAAAACCTTTAATGTTTTTAATTTACGTCCTGAAGAGAGTGGTAAGTGTACGTAAAAATTGAAGTGCATCTTTTGGCAAAAGATTTGTACGTGGTTTGGAGGCAGTATAGTTCTTAAATGACGAAATTCGAGCCATCGGCATCCAACATTGTTGATGGTTTGACAAGAATCGCATTGAGCAAGAAGTAGACTGGAAGTCCGAAATATGGGCTTCGGGCTTCCTATCCTAGCATTTGCTCTATGCAAACAGAGCTCTTTTCCTTCTGTTCCAACTTCTGCTTCAGCTTCTATCTATATATAATGTACCTCAAATATGAGTTATTTTCTATAACAATAGGCCTTATGAGATAAATTGTAAGCCAATCTTGCATGTTCGTCTGCAGATTACATGTTTACAGTATACACACAGGGCCGAAGACAGTTACAGGAAACCATGCATGTGAAATTTATTAGGAATATTTAAGCTAAAAATTATTGGATAACACTGAGTTCGATAAGAGGTAAAAGAGGGAGGTGAGGATGGACCGAAGGAAAAAAGATGAATGGATTTTTATATATTTTTTAAATTTTATTTTTTCGAAAGTGAAAGTAAAAGAATCATTCAAGTTTCAATCATTTTATTTACAGTTTTACTTTTAATTTTTTTTCCTTTATTTTTCATAGTCCATGTTGAACATAAGCTAACTTCTAAAATAATTGCTGGATAATGGCTTTGTCCTTAATATTTGTTAACGGCAGATCAGAGCTTGTGGTTCAATGCCTTGGGTTAATGAGATTGTTGCACGTCAATGGAGGAAAAATTGAATAGGACTGTTACATTCTTGACACTTCGGAGCAATACCTTGATGGCTAGACAAAGCATTCTGGCAACTTCCTGAGAAACAGAAAATTTTTGTATGAATAGAAATGCTGTTAGTGGAATGATAGAATTTGATGGTTTATAAATAACAAAGGACATGGTTTGTTCTAAAATAAAAATGGAGATCGACTGTGTTAATATCGGAAGGAAATAATACTTGGCTTACTGGCACTCCCAACACTTTGATCCACCTGTTTTTCCTCTTTCACATCCCAACAAAAGTTACTTCTCTGTTTTCTCCATCAGCAGTCCTTTATCTCCCAGTACCTAGGGTTTGTTTCTTTGTCTCCCCCTCTCATGATTCGTTAAACCGTCACCTTCCTCTCCTCAATTTTCCTTTTTCTTTAAACCATTTAAGAGAAGTAACCCTAAAAAATCCCTTCTTTCTCACATTTTTATTAACATTCCTCTCACAAAGGACCGCCCATCAGTTTTTTTTTCCCTTGATAATAATAAAAAAAATAAAGAACTCTTTCATGGCCAAGACCAAACCTGGCAAAAAGGACCTTGATTCCTACACTATCAAAGGCACCAACAAAGTTGTTCGACGTATGTTTCTCCCAAAACCCATCTCATAGTTTCGTTTCAACATTTGAAAAAGAAACCCCAAAAATCCCTTTTTAAAAAAACCCGAAATTCGTTTCTATACTTTTTTTTAAAATTTTTTTTAAGCTTTTGGGTCTTAAAATTTAAAACCCAGAAAATCTTTTGGCTGTAGAAAAGTTTTGACCTTTTTTTTGGGTTTGTTTTGCAGCTGGTGATTGTGTGCTGATGAGACCATCGGACTCAGATAAACCACCGTACGTGGCACGGGTAGAGAAGATCGAGGCCGATCATCGGAACAACGTCAAGGTTCGAGTTCAATGGTACTATCGGCCGGAGGAGTCTATTGGAGGGAGAAGACAGTTCCATGGAGCCAAGGAGCTCTTTTTATCAGACCATTATGATGTGCAAAGTGCCCACACCATTGAAGGAAAGTGTATAGTTCACACTTTCAAAAACTATACTAAGCTTGAAAATGTTGGTGCTGAAGATTACTTTTGTAGGTTCGAATATAAGGCTGCCACTGGTGGCTTCACTCCAGATCGGGTGGCAGTGTGAGTTTCTATATATCTTGTGTTTTTGGGTTGAGTTCGGGTAGTTTTTTCCTTTGTTTTACGTGTTTTAGAGTGTGTTTAGAAATTGGTTATTGATTAATTTGTTTTTTCCTCGTGGGTTTCGATTTTGAAGGTATTGCAAATGTGAGATGCCATATAACCCAGATGACCTCATGGTGCAATGTGAAGGATGCAAGGATTGGTAAACTTGTTATTCATTTAGTTTCGTTGTATAATTAAAGTGGAATGTAAATTTCCCTTTTGTATGTGTGTGTGTGTGCAGAACTGTTGATTGAGTTCATTTATTTTTAGTGGTCCTGTAATGATCTGTGAGCTGAAAGAGTTTCAAATTAATGTTATACTTAATTTTGCACCAGGTTAATGGTTGCATCACAACTATGATGAATTTCACATTTAATTTTAAGTCTTTCTAAGTTGTTTAACTCGACTGCTTTTGCGTCTTATATACACTTTGTTAATCCATTTAGCATTAAAAAGTTTCTGTCCTTTATTAGTACTACTTTTGTATAATTTAGAGCTCTTGTAGCAAAAGGATATTTGGTTTTGTTCCATTCAAATGCTTTTAACTCCTTGTTACATTATTCATGGAACATAAAATGATGAAAGAATTGCCATTTAATTTGAGTTTTCTGTAATTGAATAGTGGGTAGCGTACATTTACTTAATGATGATTGTCTAAATGGTTTTTTAGTATTCGAAATTTCCTTTCCAATAATGACTTATTTGGATACTGTTCTATTTGGTATTTTATCTATGAAAATCTACTTCCTAGGAAGCTGTGGTTTTGTTGGGACTGAAGGTAATTGATTTAACGCATTGTAGTGAGCTGTAATAGTCGATTCATTAAGACATGAACAAGTATGAGCTAGATCAGCTTCAATTCCAATCTAAAAGAGAAATTTCTGTATTTTCCCGATTAGGAATCCTTAAGTAGATCTACTGATGCCATCTGATTTAACTTCTCTGTTCTGTTTTCTTCTAAAATGGTTCATTCCCCTATTTACGTTTTATGTTAATGTATAATATCCTCTTTTGGTCTTCATCTCACCTGATTCACTGTGTATCATGGTAAAACCCAGTCTGTCATGGTAGGATTAAACGTTACTGTATCTTACATTTGGTTCACTTGTCTGCTTTTTTATTTTGGAATTCATATTTAACATGTTGGTGGTATTCTTGCATAGGCAAGATTTTTGCATGATTTTTCTTTTTGAGGGTTTTTTTTTTGGGGGGGGGGGTGGTTGCATTGATGTTTCCTACTTGGCTATATAACAAGGTTAGGTTTGAGAAAATTTAGCAATTTTATGGTTTAGAGTTGGATAAGGTTTAGAATTAGATAAAAGTTCATTGCTAATGAATCAACTATTTTAGTTAATTGATATTTTATGGCAAAAGAGTGGCTGGAAGGAAGGAATTAGCTTGCTGTTAATATCCAGCGGTAGTGCAATTTTTATTGAAGGAAAGGTGGTGGAATGGCTCTAAGTTGTTTTAAGGATTTTATTGTTCTGGGGAATAAGATTCATTGTTTCTATAAGTGGAAAGTTCAAATTAGCAGCAAATCTACTAGAGAAAATTGCCGGAAATAGCTAAAGAATAGAATAGATAATTTAAATAAGGAAAAGAAAAGGATGGACAGAGAAAATAGAGTGAAAAGAATATTGGCATTTACGTCTATGCCCAAAAAGCAAAGAAATTTGTAACTTGATTGAGTAAAAGTTAATGATCTATACAGAAAAATATGAAAGCTTGAATCTTAAACTCCGGAATGGGGCCTAATAAACACATAAAAGACTACTTGAATTGACATAGTGCAGAATAGGACTTTTAGATCTCCTTAAAACTTTAGATTTTGCTAGATTATTGAAATACCTTAAGTGAACAAATTATAAAAGTTTTAGCTTGCACCGCAAAACTAGGTTAAATTTGACAATTTAACTCTAAACAAGTTGTGGCTTAACTTTCTAGGTCATTTAATCTTACAAAAGCTAATAACTACAATGACAGGAGCAATGGACTTGTCTTGCATCTTGGTCTGGAGACACAGAAAAGTAAACATATTTTAGAAGAGTCTTTTGAAGATTGCTAAAGCTCTTCTTTCTTAAGAACATAATGAGTTTGACATTTATTATGTAGCTAGATGTAACATACTGTGTCTTAGTTATGCCCGTTAAGACTGGCCAAGCTGAAATATTTTGGTTGTACCTTTAGGAGTGTAATGTATTTATCCTTTAAAGTTATATTGCCTAGCTTCAATTTTAAGTTCTTTTTCCCCTTGTAAAATTGGCCTGACAATATGGCTAAGCATTGAGTTGTATTTCTAGCTACCTCTGGGTGCTTATGGGCTGGAAGTACGACCAGCTTGTTAACAAGTAGATTGTTTTGTTCAATCAATCTATTGATCAATTTTTGACTTCAAGCAGGGATGGATTTAGTTGCCCCCACTCAAATCTTGGATAATTAATTTTACTATTAGTAAAAAACCTAAAATTTTTGCAGTTCTTGTGTTCTGCCCGTGAAAAAAAAAAAAGTGGGATTATTAGTAACAAACACAAATTTTTTTGTTTTTTTTGCCTCCCGAAAAAATATTTATGGGTCTTCTATAGTATTGAAAGGTATATGGATGTATCAACAAAAAAAAAAAAAGAATAATTGAGTTAAGTAATGGTTCAAAATGCAAATATGAAATTATTAGCGGTAGTTCTTTTGGTATTAGTTGAAATTAACTCTAAAAAGATAACTTAAAAAGTTAACAAGACTTGGAAAGAAAGAAAATTGTAAAGTAAAAAAATGAAATAACTATTGTGGAATCAAACAACTAGGAAAAAGAGAAGGAAAATAGAAACTTGTAGGAAAGGAGATGTAATTCATTTAGTGTAAATACCTAAATAAGATTTCTACCAAAAAACTAAATATAGATTTTTTGACATTTTCCATCTTAATTTGATCAAGCTTTATTTGATAATTTGAATTCTTTATTTAAGGTCTTAGATTTAGATTAATTTGGATAGCAAGATATGAAGTTATATTATCATATGAAGTTATCTAAAATAGTTTTTATTCTTTGAAGTAATTACGTGATATATTTTATTATTGCTTGTAGACTTTATTTATTTAATTATGACCCAAAGTTAACTTGGACAATATTCTTTTAAACCTTTGGAACAAAATAAATTCTAAAACACTTAAAAAAAAAAAATCTTAAACAACTTTGCAAAAATGTAAAAAAAAAAAATCTTGTAGGTTGTTATATATATGACTTTTTATACTTTTTAATTTTTTATATAAATCTTTTATTATTTTTTATATTTCTAGAAGTATTTGATATTATTGTTTTATTAAAATATATTCTACTTTCTAATAATTTTTGAATAAAATAGTATAAACAAATATCACCTAATAGTTTGCCCCCACTTAGTATAAATCTTGGATCTGTCCCTGACTTCAAAAGACTTTGCATGAGTTGTTTGCCTCTTTTATGCTTGAACCTCAACTAATCTTGGAATATTCTTGCTAGAAATGAAAATCATTTTTGGTCTGAAGACATGTTATTTATGTCTGGTAGTATGTTTAGTATTGTTCTCTCTGTTCCTTGCCAATGATTTCCATTGTTCTGCATATAAATACACAGAAATAGCTCTGTATATAGTGATGTTACTTCTTTCATGTGAAATGAGATTTGATATAATTAATAGGAATACCAATTATCATATTTTCCTGACTGAACATTAGTATGTTTCAGGTTTCATCCTTCCTGCATGGGTATGACCATTGAAGAAGCAAAAAAATTGGATCGCTTTTTATGTTCTGATTGTTCTTCAGAGGATGATGCCAAAAGATCTTTGAATGCATTCCCAGTATCACCATCCCTTGAGGCAAAGGTTAGATCATTTATGTTCACCGTTTGAGTGTGTGCAAAAATATATGCTTTATTTCCTTTTTTTGTTACTCCATTTAGTTATTGGCAAATTTAGTTATATTGTATTAGACCAACTGTCATTATTTCTTTTTGATTCTCTTGCAATGTAATTGTTACTTCTGACTTTTTCCCAGCAGACCATACCGTAACCAATCATTTCTTGTTTGAAGTTTCCCTTTGTGGATACTTTCCAGTCCTTTCCTTTTCCATTCTCCCCTCCTAGATAAGAGTCTTGGGATTTTGTTTTTTTTTAAATTATGAGAATAGATTCATAATGCCTTGTCCTTATGTTCCTACTGAAGCCTGAAGGTAGCATCTCTTTCTGTAAACTGTGTTCCACGTTTCCCACTGCCACCTCCCCCTGTTCTTTTTTTTACTCTTCAGTAGATTAGAATAAGCTTACTCAATTGATCAAGGACTGATATAAAAAATGGAATGTTGACTAACTAATCTAGCAGTTTTCGTCAGCTATGAAGCTTAGATGAGAATGCATTATATACACCCCAGAGATACATTTACTTCAAAAAATTAGGAGCCAATATGGTGGGATATGCAAAATGATGACATTTATATTATATATCTATATATTAGCTGTAATAAGAACATAAAATATGCAAATCAACTTATTATGAAACAGTATATATTAAAGAAAATTTGAAACTACCATGGGGTTAGCTGCCACACTCATCACAGTGTAGCACCATTTCTGAATAGATCAATGCCTTCCTCCCCCAACAACGAACCTCCCTTCTCCCAAAAGAGAGAGACATAGAGGGGTTTTTATGTAGGGTAAACAATAAATATGGTTTATCATTGAATGACATCAAATTCAATGTTAGAACTCTACTTGCAAGGATTTGGTCTGTCTATGTGCATTAGTCAAGCCAGTCTGCCAACAACTGTTATTTGAAACTTTTAACTGTTCTTTCAACTTCAAGAATCATTCATTAAATTTTTATAAGTTAACTGGGTTATATAATTTTAATATATATAATTGCATAGTTGCTTGACCAGTAGGCTGCACTAGACCGGTGTCAACATTATTCCTAAAATATGTCCAGGGACTGTCATTGCTGCATCAACCTAAAACTACTTTCCGAAATTAGAAATTGGCTTTTGACACCATGGTGCTGGTAATGTGATGTCTGACTTCATTTACTTTCAATGAAAAAGTGGATACCAAACAGAGTGCATGTTGGTTACAAGGAGAAGCATAAATTTTAGCTGGTGACTCCCTTTCTTCCAGGTTGCCGTTGTCTTTTGTGAATACGAGGGTGACAGTAAAAACAGATTGAGTAGGAGAAGAATACATTTTCAATTATGATAAAACTTAGAAAGGAATTATACAATTACTTGGGAATACTAAAAAGGCTTTTTTTTCTTTGACAAAGGGTGAAGTTTTATGGTAATGATGACATATAGTTAATATGCTGGCTGCAAAGTTTGAAATACTCTGAATGTTGTCTAACTGTTGTTTTTGTGTGTGTATGCATACATGCACTTATGCTTTTGCTTCTTGGTAGAGAAAATCTGAAGCTTTCTAAATGTCATTTTAAAACAGTAGTATTCCCTATTGGTTGCAAGTTTTTCTCTGCTTTGATTGTATCAATAGCCGCAATGTCGATGGTATCAATTGTCAGAATTGCCTGTGGGCATGTTATGTATCTGATCAGATTCCATGCTACTTGTGTGTTTCCTCTACAAGGCATTTATGGACTTTAAATTAACTATATCATTAATATGGTTTTCCATATAGAATGATGATGAACAATGAGAATAGGTTTAGTTTTTAACCTCATATCTCTTTTGGTACATATTAACCTCATATTAAGGAAATAAAACATTTGATTATTTTCTACTTCTGCTTGAAGGAATGAACAAGTATAAGGAAGTACAATTAGTTGGTAATTTTTTAATATATTTAATTATTACAAAAAATGAATTTCCTTGATGCTTTGGTATCTGGAAGGGAAGTTGGATTTCATGATAATTAATTAAACCAATTCAGTTGTTAGTTTCATTCTAATAGTGCATCTAATGCTTTATTTGATAACCAACTATTCTTTCTTTTCCCTTTCCCTCTTAGCTATTTTATTCTTTTTGACTTAGGTGGAATCAAAGCGTAGAAAGAGATAACCATTATCACAATGCGGAACGAGGAGGTACCGATTTTCTTCCACATTAGCTCAAGTATTATTGTTCTTGTTTGTTTTGTGGAATTGTACAGTGCAGAGAAGATACTGTGCTTGCACAAACAATAGAGAGGCTTCTTTCATGATTTACCATGTTCTTATATGTCTGTATGTGTGGTTGGATTTAAGAGATGACTTTGTGGTCAATGATGTTGCGAGTGCAGTCCCTGCAAAATGTCATGTTAATAATATAAGCTGCGAACCATAACAATGGCTTAAACTTAAAAATTGGGAAAACCTTGGCTTCTGTTGTTATGTCACAGTCTGTAGTATCATTATGAAGTGGTGCAAAACAGCTTTGGTCTATTGGGTTTCTCATATGAAAAGTTTTCCTGCGATGCTATTGAAGTTGAGGCAGCATCCCTGATATACTTGATTTATCAGACCACATTTTACTTGAAAGAGCTGTGTTTTCAACTGATGCATGATAAAAACTGCCATGTTTCTGATGTAGCTTTCATGCATGCAAGATAAAGGGCTATAGCCGCTGGTATCCCTCAAAACTTGAAATTTGAATCACTTGCTTCGCTTCGTTGATGAGATTTCATGAAGGCGTGTGGCATTCTGGCGGTGATTCCTGGCCCCTCACTACTACTAGTAAATAAAACTCGGTTAGGATCGCATTAATTTCAAACGTCATTCGATTTGATTCGATAAAATTTTAAGAAATTTAATGCACTTTTGACTGTTTGATACAAGGAGAGCTTTCTAATTTTAATTAATGGAGTCTAAATTTTCGTAACTTAAAATGTTAAAAGGAAAATCAAACAAAAGGATGAAATATCCCAACCACTAAAAATAAAAATTGAAAAATTAAAAAAAAAAAAAGGAAAATGTCCGATAGTTAGCAGGATCATCAGGAAGTTAGTTGTGAAGTCAAAACCCAATACTCAAAGGAATGAGAGATATGGGACCAAATCCTCACCTCCCAAATATATGTGGTGGGTCCATTTGCATCGTGATAACTGGTCAACCAAAAGCGAAATTCAGGGTCATTATTGTAATATCATATTTTCTTATTATTTCTTATCTTTTTTGAATTTTTTCTTTTTCTGCCCCTCCTGTCCGAAAACCTCAATTTCCGCATGATTTTTTCTGTCTATTTTCCCTTCTTCCAAACAGACCCGTTAAGACAGCGAGAGAGAGAGAGAGAGAGAGGGAAGGATCCCTATTTCTTTACATTTTTATATTGGTTTTTGTATTACTAGGCATTATCTGATTTCTCTTTTTTTTCTTTTGTTTTTTGCCTGGTAGTATTTTTACTTCTTTTTTTCCCCTCTCCTCCTCTCTCTTGAATCGAACTGATTTTTGGGGTTTATCTTATCGGAGATCGTTTTAAGGGGCTTTAATTTTCTCTTGTTCTACCTTTTTCTTTTCTGGCGCTTTTTTTTTTATTTGGATCCCTTCAAATATTTCTTCAAATGTAAGTTGAAAATACCTTATCTTTTTCGATTCCTTCGTTTCAGTTACTTTTTTTTTAGAGAATCGTAATTTCGAAAACATTAGATTCTGAATAGGGTTATATATATTTTTAAATTTTTTCTTTTAAATGCAAATATTCCCTTTCCATTGCTTGAATCCGTAAATTATGTATGAAAGAAATGTCTATAATCTGATGTCTTTCAAGTTGGAATCTTTGATAATTGTGGATTAGGGTTAGGGTTAGGGTTCTGGTAGATATGATCAAGCAGATATTAGGAAAGCTACCTCGGAAACCATCGAAATCATCCCAAAATGATTCAAATGGTGATGGAGGAGTCAATGGTAATTCCTCTTCGTACTCTTCTCTAGGACCCAATTCTTTAAACAACTCAAAACCCAGTTGGGCTTCTTCAAAATCTTCAGGTTCACGTTTGAACAATGGGACTCTTAATTCTTATTCATCCAGTTCGAATAAATCTAATCAAGGCCAGAAAACAGCCTCTCTTGCAAGCCAAGCGGGTCCTGTGTTAGCTTCAGGGGTTTATGAGGCTTTGCCTAGTTTCCGGGATATTCCTAGCTCGGAAAAGCAGAGTCTTTTTCTTCGGAAGTTGAGTATGTGTTGTGTGTTTTTTGATTTTAGTGATCCATCTAAGAACCTTAGGGAAAAGGATATAAAGAGGCAGACGTTGTTGGAGCTTGTTGATTATATTTTGTCGGTTACATCCAAGTTCAATGAAGTTGCAATGCAAGAGATTACTAGAATGGTGGCCGCTAATCTCTTTCGAACATTTCCATCCCCGAATCATGATAACAAGCTTCTAGAAATGTATGATTTGGAAGATGAGGAACCGGCCATGGATCCTGCTTGGCCTCATCTGCAGATTGTATATGAACTTTTACTTAGATTTGTGGCCTCAACGGAGACTGATGCCAAGCTTGCTAAAAGATATATCGACCATTCATTCGTGTTGAAATTGTTGGATTTGTTTGATTCAGATGACCAAAGAGAGAGGGAGTATCTAAAGACAATTCTACATCGGATTTATGGGAAGTTCATGGTGCATCGGCCATTTATTAGAAAAGCCATCAACAATATCTTCTATAGGTTTATTTTTGAGACCGAGAAACACAATGGTATCGCTGAGTTGCTTGAAATCTTGGGGAGTATAATAAATGGGTTTGCTTTGCCTTTGAAGGAGGAGCACAAGCTCTTCTTGGTCCGAGCTCTGATTCCTCTGCACAAGCCCAAGTGTGTATCCATGTACCATCAGCAAGTTTCTTATTGCATTACTCAGTTTGTTGAGAAAGACTTCAAGCTGGCTGATACTGTCATCCGAGGCCTTCTAAAGTATTGGCCTGTAACTAATAGTTCAAAGGAGGTAATGTTCCTTGGAGAGCTGGAAGAAGTTCTAGAAGCTACTCAGGCAGCTGAATTCCAACGCTGCATGGTTCCTCTTTTCCGGCAGATTGGTCGCTGCCTCAACAGCTCTCATTTTCAGGTACTTTTAGATTTTTTTTTTTTTTGTTATTCCTTCCACCGACTTTGTTATAAGCTTCTTGCCTTCTGCTGACTGCTATATCATGTTCTTCATCACTATAGCAAATTTTTTTCATTGATTGGAGGTTAGTATTGATTTTTTTCTTCCCCAAATGTTGCTGTTGGAAATTATACATGTGGATGCTGCTTTCTGCCCCATCCTTTGCGGACAATGATTATTGATCAATTTTTAATTGAATGTTTATCCAAATTGTTTTTCTATCGATCAGCATACTTGTTTTGGACTTTTAATCATGATTTTCAATCATGGCATGAGGCATCCACTCATAGAAAACTGGTTTCATTTATCTATTGCAAATATGGGAATCATTCACAATATTTTGGCACTTCGTTTGAAATCGAGGATGCCAAGAAATTGATGATTTGAACATCTTGTATGGGAAGTGTTATAAAACATGGTTTTTGGAATTGAGCAATTATCAGGATAGGTCATGCACGTAACTACCTCATGTTTAAAGTTAGTTTCTATGTGCACCTGAAAACCTTCCAACCCAAAACAATCCTATTGTTCAATGGTCCGCCTTCTATATGTGTAATTTGTTAAACTAAACTCCTATAGTAAGTGCAACTGTTACAAGAATTTGGTTGGGGACAAAAGTTCTCTGGAATTGTAGAACCAGCTACAATAAATTTCTGGCATAAATAATAGAATTTAGGATCTTTTGGTGAGGTAAGGATGTAGGATTTTTATAGATTGATCTAAGGTGATATTAGTTTCTTGGTTAAGGAAAGGATTGAATTGGATCTGGTTGTGATTGGGAAAATTTACATTTATTATAAGAAAATGGAATTGTCTTAAAATCACATTAGCCTATAATTAAAAGAAAAGACAAGGTAGGTACTAGGCATTCATGCCTCACTAGGCCAGATAACTTATAATTTTCCATAAATAGTTCTAAGCAACTGTGTTTTTTCCCTTTCTTTCTGTTCAATGCTTACTCCCAGCTGCATCTTCTCTGAAAAATATAATTTTGATGGTTTCTATGGATTGAAACATGACGGAGAGTGTATATGGGGTGGAAATTGTCGTAGTTTTGCATTTGGGGCATAAGTTGGCTACTATGTTTTTTGGCCAAGAGTTGACTGGTATGTTTAATTTCTGGGGGATGATGTGTATTTGACTCCAGAAGATATCAATGTTTTCTAGATTATGAATGACATTTTCATGAAGAATGCATATCTGCTAAGCGTACTGTCTGCTTGAGAAAAGAATTCCAGATATGTTTTCAACCAGTAGTTGATTATATTTAGGTTCAACAGAGCGGTAGTGGTTTTGCTGTGGTAGCAGATGGCAATTTAATCCTGCTAGTGAGTTGCATGTTCTTTGTTCCATAAGGTTGATCCTGTTCTAATAGCCTTAAATGAATTAAACACCTTCATTCCTCAGCAATGAAAGCACCTTTAAACTGTCTTTGATTAGGGCATTCTTGCTTCAAAATGAATGTTCTGTGCTGGTGGATTGGGGTACATGAACCTGGTTTCATTGTCACAAAACCTAAAAATGGATCACTGATGCAATTTGAGTACCCCTCCAGGACAGGTTAGCAAGCAACTTTTGAGTAATGGCCACACCTGTTCTGTTAAGTAGTTTCTTTTATGTTGGGTTTAAAGTGATAACCTAAGGAGAAGAATTATCTGTTCTGTGGAAGTTGCATGCATTAGTCATTATATTTGCCTGGTATCTGATTTGATTCAATTAGAGTTTTGTACTCGCAACTTTTTGCTATAAGATTCATGGAATATTTTAATCTGTCATAACATGTTATTTTGGCAGGTAGCTGAACGTGCTTTGTTTTTGTGGAACAATGATCACATAAGAAATCTGATCACCCATAACCGCACAATAATACTACCTATGATCTTCCCAGCATTGGAGAGAAACACACGTGGTCATTGGAACCAGGCAGTTCAGAGTCTTACACTGAATGTCAGGAAGATATTCTCCGATGCTGATCAACTGCTCTTTGATGAATGTTTGGCCAGATTCCAAGAAGATGAACTGAAGGAAAAAGAGATGCAGGAGAAGCGGGAACTAACCTGGAAGCGGTTGGAATATGTGGCTGCATCTACCGCTGTAAGTAATGAAGCTGTTCTGGTTTCAAGATTTGTCTCTTCCATTGCCATCTCCACCAGCACAAGTACAAAGGCAATGGCAGGCAGTTGAGATATGCACTGAATGCAATTTGTAAGGAATCATTCACATCCATCAAAGTGAAATGATCCAGGTGTAGCCCAAATGATGCACCATGGGAATCGGTTGATGTCACTTCAGTTTTTTAACAGCTAATCTCTACCTCCTGAATGACAAGTGGTAGGGTTCTGTGGATATTAAGGTTGCTTCTATTTTGGTTCTGGGCTCATTCATTTTTCTATCTTCCTTTTGCCTTTTTCCTTTCTCTCCCCTGCCCCCTTCCTCTTTACGACGGAGGTGCTAGTGTGTGTATCATAAGGGATTTAGTTTATGAAGTAAGCTGTTGGATTTACTATCAGATACTATTTATTTTTATTATTATATTTTTTGTAATGATGCAAGGACATATTTTTCCCCTGTTCCCTGCTACCCCCCCCCCCCCCCCCCCGGGGAGGCCCTGAACTCTTCTTTGCTGTTGGGTTCTGAATGATATTTCTTGATACGAGGAAAAGCTTTTATGAACAGTGTCTTAACTGATTAGATAGAACTCAGCTAAGCCACTGTGATTTGCACTGGCACAAAGGGGGTTAACGTATTTGTCCATTATGACGATTGTCGGTTATTTTCTCCGCTTCAGGTTTACAACTATGGGAGCTCTAGCAAGAGGAAAAAAAATGAGAAGAAAACAAGAAACCAGCCACTGAAACTGTAAAAACTGCCGATGGCCTTACAACCATCTTCCTCACAACTTAAAAATCATTTTTTACGATGTATGGTTATCCCAAAGTTCTAGCACAATTAGCCAATCTGTCTATCACCGCACTGCTTAGAAGCAATGAAAGAAACAGCTGATCTTCCTGTCAGTGATCACTCTTCAAACTTATGCATTTTACCCTCTATATTCAGTCCAGTAATCTTTCTCGCATTCCTTGTCTCCTCATTGCTTCTTTGATTCTGCCCACCTCTTCCCACCTCCATGCCAAGGATTCCAGTTTCTGTCGCTCCTTAAATTGCTACAGATCTAATAGTCCACCAAGAGGCATCCACAATAACTAAAACATAATCCTCCGGTACTCACATTGCCATAATCACCATCCTGTTGTACGCTAATGTTCCTTAGTATCCAGTCTAGTAATGAAACGTGAAAACTAGTATCTGCATTCAGTGAGTGATAACAAGAAAAGAGGTTGTCGAATGAGAATGATATGTTCCATTCTCAATGCAAAAAGGACAAAAAGGGTAATTTGCACTTGCCTGTCTTCCCTACTGACCATTCTGAAACCCTAAGCTGTGTCAGTCGCTCTGGTGACACTTTCCTTTCCATCCTCACATTGTACAATTTCTCTAAAGGTTTGTCTACCCTTAATGCTTTTACGCCGCAAGATGAAGATGCCCCAACACCATTGTTAGACCTGCTGCTTCTCTCGAAAGAGAAGTAGCCAAGAGTTGGACTGGACATCATGCTTGCCATATTTTAATTTCCTACCCCAATTTTACTGTTGCCTACCTGCAAATTTGAAGTAGACAGAATGTGGATTCATATACAAGTTATCAACAGTTACAATTACGGATAATTCCAAATAGTTTTATGAGCAAATTACAGATTCTTAAGCCCAACTTCTTTCCTAGGTTTTCTTAGCCACCAAACAGAGGAGTACACAGGCATAGATAATGAAGATAAACAAAGAAAATACTGAAGATAGAAGCGCATCAAAATCAGAAGAAAATAAACAAAGAAAAAGCTGGATTCTTTTCCCTGTTGAAAAAATTTATATATTCAAACTTGTACAGTCCAAAAGAAAGACAAAGATGGGTGTCACTGGTTTCTAAAACCCGTTCTATGCTTCAGCCGAGGTTTATCAGATCATCCTCGAAAACATAACTTATTTCCTGTAAACTCACCTGTAGCTGACCCCTTAGTTGTTACCCGCAGCTCTTACTTTCTAACTTACCTGATACCGGTTCTCTCAGTCAACCAGATAACGACAATTGTGACCTCTCTTACACATAGTTTGTCGTTCTTGCAAAGATTCTTGAGATTATTTTATCTTGTTTTATAGTGTGCATGAAATGCTCATTCACCATTCTGCTTCTGTATGGACATTTTTTTAATTTATTTAATAAAATAAAATTGTGCATATGTTTGATATTTTGCGTATCTAAATGCAAAATATGATCACTTCTCCAAAGAGATTAAAACTTTTTCATAATTTTCATAAAAAAACCTATTTGAATAAAACAAAAACTTTTTCTTTTACTTTAAGTTATGTAATAAAAATTAAATTTTTATTCAATATTTTGCCACCCCTCCCATTTGAGCAGAGCTGGTTTAAAATTTGGCGTGAGAGGCAAGTCCCACAGGAGCGGAGAGCAGCGATAATTGGCCCACATTCAGGTCCCAGTTCCCACGTGCCTTGACTGATGGGCGGGGTCGCAATTTCTAATTTCTAGTGTAGTTTGATGACAATAACATTGGGGAGAGATTTTTTTTTTTTTCAACTTTGTAATAATTTGCTCAACTAATTTCAAGTATTTACATTTCATGCGCACATGCATAAATCAGGGTCGGTGGAATGTGAAAGTGCACGGTGTCTCCTGCATTTTGCACTTTCACACTGTGGACCATGCCCACCTTCACGATCTACACCTCATTTTTCATCCTTTGCTCTCAACTGCACCATGTCTTGGACTTCATTGTCCTCGGTTTTAGATCAATTTAATGATTAATTTGTTTGATTTGACATGAGTGGTGAATCAATTTAAAAAAAAAAAAAGGAATAATAAGCTGCAAGGCAGGCTGTAAATCTGAAGGGTGGCAGCAGCTGAGTAGTGTGCATAGTATGTGAATGTATGGTCCAATGGCTTACAAAATATTCCTTTCTGTACAGATATATATATATATATATATATATATGTTATCCAACCTTAATTGCATGGTTGTTGTATGAAATAATGAGCAATTAAACTGCCATTAAAATCCCGGTCTGCCAGTAAGGAGGTGACCGAACTAGCTAACCCTGTCCACATGTATGATGTATATCACTCGATATTACTTTCAGACTAGAAAAACAAGAGTAGGTCATTTAGATTGGTAATTTATGAGTTTTTGCCAGTGGCAATCTATTAAAATCTTGACTTTTTTTTTTTTTCGGTTATAGTGTAACGATAGAGAAAAGTAGTGCATGCGATGCGATTTAAATTCCGAATCTAAAATCTCATGATCGACTCAAAATCTTGGGCTTTGTGTAGTAGCTTTGAATTGTAAATCAGAATTGCATTCAGTGCCAAGAAAATAGATCATGATGTTGATGGTTCACAAAGCTGCAATTTTCCCTCTTGGTGCAGTTTCCTGGAAAACCCATGCTGGAAATTGGGTGCACAAGCACAAATTTGGTTTCATACAAGTAAACCATTCCAACTACATTCACTGGGCGTTCTGGTTTTTACTTCCTTGTAATCAGGATTCTAGGCAGGCAAAGGAAAGGCAACAAGCAAGCTTCTCCGCCCTATTAAATTCTGGTGAAGACTACTTTCAAATATACAAATTATATATGCATCTCATATCCTTTCTCAAAATACTAAAAAAATAATTCTGCATAAAAGATGCAATGAAATTGAAATATGTAATAGGTATAAAAATCTCTACAAAGCTTACATATGATAATTATTGACCCATTTCTGTATAGGATACAAAGCCTAAAAACAAATAAATATAAAATAATGCCTTGTGATTAATCTAAAACATGCAAGAGTTTGATCCCAAAAAAAAAAAAAAAACATTAACTCATATCTCTACCTCCTGTACAATATTTCTTGTCTCTACACAACTAAATAGGTATAATATAATTTATGATATTGTTACATAAATCATCCAAAAATATGCTTAAAGCATATATAAGAGGAAAGATGCTGCAAATGCAAAGCCTATACATGCAACAGGAAAAGAAAGGAGAAGAAAGAAGAAAAAAGATATATTATCTGAATTTGAATTCTTCAATTGTATCTGGTCTTGACTATCATCGCTTGTTGTGTAATGGGTTTGACCCTGTTGGAACTCTTCGCTTCTCCTCATCGAATTGCCTGGATTGGCCTGTAAAGGGTGAACTACCTGACCCTGGATGAAAAACCTGTTGGCCAGCTGGTTGTCTGGTACCTTTGGTTGAAGTGCCTGCTGAAGCAAGGAAGTTTCTCCGGATTGCTTGAATCCTGGGAGAAAAGAGAAGGAGAACAACAACAAGGGAGCAAAGCTGAAAGTGATTCATCTTTTCTTTGACAGATATGGAAAGGCAGTCATAGCCTAGCCAGCTTGCTATTATATATATCGGCAGGCTTTGGTCCATTTCTATGTCTTGTTGACCCCATTTGCCTTAGGATCTTGGTTAGATGGGTGATATATTGTTGTAGGCCATAGCCTTGCTACCGTTGGATGAAGATAAAATGGTGAATGAAGATTTTGGGAATGTAGAATTGATAGCAAGGGTCAAACATGGGGTCACTGGCCTTATAATGAAGGTTGGGGTGCGGTGGTGGAAGTCACCATTCAGTAGGGACATTCACACCAGAAAATATACACAAAACTTGGAGAAGAAGGGAAGCGTTCGCTGTTACTGAAATATTATTCGGGAAGACCAAAATGCCTATTCACTTTTCACACTAAATTTACTAAATTATATCCATATGCCTTGCATGAAAAAGGGTATTTTGGTCATAAAAAATCAAAATTTTTACACCGACGCACTCGATTATATTTGTGGAAAATATATTAAGCTTGGCCATTAATTACACAGCTGCGTGAGTGCATTAACACATTAATCAAATACAAAATATAAATACGTGTAAAAAAATATTGAAATTTTAATTTGAGTAATTAAAATTCAATTGATAACTTGTATAAAAAATACAGAACATAACCAGCTATGGATATTGAAAATTCAATTTTTTTTTTTGAAAAAAAAAAGACACATGGGATCATACAACTGTACAAATTTTTGCGACAACATTCATCCCCAACACACAATATGATGCTTCCAGGAGAACAAATTTCATCTGCCAAACCAAGTGAAAATCCTTGTTATTTGCTTCACCAAAAACCAAACCATATAGTTGGCATTAAAAGTGGTTCTTTTATTGCAAAGTTAAGGAATTTTCTTGTCCTAAATGATGAAACGTTGAATATAGTAACAAAGATCCTCTGAAATGTCGGGAAAAAAGGATTAGACTTGACCCTTTTGGTGCACGGGCAGCCAAAGTTTCCTACTTTTCCGTATATCTCTTTTTCTACTTTATATATTTCATGACTATGATGTATGATATATATATATATATATATTAGAGATACCCTTCTTTATCTGTGTTCTCATTTCCATTTTCAGTAACGAGTGTGCAAAACTGATTGGGAAGAGATCAGCAGTCAAGATTAAGAAATTAGTCAAAACAAATTA